GTGCCCTCAAGGCTCCCGGACCTGATGGTTTTCAGGTTTTGTTTTTTCGCAAACATTGGGACTTGGTTGCAAATAACGTGTATGAGGTTACTCTTAAAGCTTTGGCAGGGAAAGGTCTTCCAGAAATTTTAAATCACACTTTTCTTGTTCTCATTCCTAAGGTGGAAGCTCCTGAATTGCCCTCTCAATTTCGACCAATAAGCCTTTGTAATGTCATCTATAAAATAATTACAAAAGGCTATTGTTAATAGAATTAAACCAATGATGCCCCATCTCACTTCGTGTACTCAAACTAGTTTCTTGCCCGGAAGACAAATCATTGACAACATTGTGATCGTCCAAGAAGTGTATCAGGCCAATTTGAGAATCTTTTTATAATTTTTTTTATTGATTATTTTAAGAGTATTGAAATCATAATAATTACTCTGTAATAATTATAAGAGTGTATTCTTTTTAGATATTTTGTTTTTGAGGGAAATAAGAGTGTATTCTTTTTAGATATAATGACATATATTAGTTTTGAACTGAAAAAGGTATAATTTCAAACCGGCCACTCAAACCGTTAAAGTATCTCAAACACCACCAAAACTCTAAAAGCCACTTAATTAAAAAATTATTGACGAATATATCTAGTTAAATATTTATCTAATTCAGCCTTTTGTATAATTTTATATTTCTATGTACTGTTTTAGTACTTAAAATTGAATACTATAGGCTAACACAAATTATGTGCATGTTGTAACCAGACAAGGCAATCCAAAAATAATATAATCAGATCATCAAACACTGGACAAATATCAGGAATCCCGATTTTTGTTGTTTTATTCATAAAAGTCTTTTTTTAAATAGTTTCCTAAAATAATTTTGAAAATTTTAAACTTGGATAAAACCTATCAATATAATTGATCTTGGTGCATATTATTGTCACACCCCCAAAAGTTAAAATTTATGCCAATTAAATTATTGATGCCCATAATCAACTTAGTGCAAAAAATATGGTGAATATTTTTTTTTATAGTCGTTAATAAAATGGATATTATTCAAGGGCATACATTCATTTAATTTCTTATGCAAAACAGAGTATATTGAATGATAAAAAGGATAAACTAGTACGACTTAATGAAGGTTATGCCACTATGTTTGACATGTGGTTTCATGTGATCTAATTCACATCACCTCTGTTTAATCACCATCTATCATCAATCAATGTTAGTGCAAGTGGTCCAATTACACGATTTGTTTGGAGTTCTAAAGATTTGTAATAGACAAATTATCTTCAATACTAGTACTGGTTGTTGAAAATTAGTTGTCTCGAATCAAATTACAAGTATATTACTTATGGCAACGTGAATCAACCTGCACATATATACGAGTACTATTTTAGATTGTACGAAACAATGGCAAGCTATTAAAATTTTTGAATGGTTCTCAAATGGAGTAAAATACTTCGCCTTGTAAATTGTAATTTTGTATAGTGATAATTGTATGTCTTGCTTCTTATGGTGAATTAATTATATATAATGCACCACTTGTATACTTATTGTAAATTTCTCTAGATGTCTATTACATTTGTTTAATCTTTTAGGTCATAAAATTTTTAATGTGTGTTCGTTATTTCACTGTTGGTTATAATTTTGCACTCGAATTATAATTCTAGTGATTATATGATACTCTGACCTATGCAAAATCCAATCTAAATGTTTTTCTTTAAATTGTCAAATTACTTAATCACTTATGGGCAATTGGGCATTATTCAGGTCCACATTCATCTAATTTCCCATCTTATCGAATACATTTAATGGAAGACAAGAATTAATTACAAAATCAAAACTTTCGATTTTCAAAAAAAAAAAAAAAAAGTTAACAAAAAACAAAATGTAATGATTTGTTCATCAATTTAGTAAATTTATTGTTTAGATCAAAAGTTCAACTAACCATTTTAGCAATCGTCAAAAAACCCAAAATACAGTTTTATATTTAAATGCAATATACTCTTGGATCATGGTACTCCATATTCAACATGCTTGAGTTATTTTGCCTAAACTTTATGTTATTTTGCTTAAATTTTGTGTTATTTTGCTAAAACAATATGTTATTTACTTATTACTTCAACAACATGTATAAAAAACAGCATGCATGTATGAAATAACATGTACTTATTTAAAATTAACATATATATAAATTGAAATAATAAAAAGTTCACATCAAAATAACATAAATTTTATAAACCTAGAGTACAATGAAATGATCGGTGTTGAATATAAAAAAAAAAAAACAGCATGCAAGTATTAAATAACATAAACTTTATAAATCTGGAATACCAGTGTAAGGTACTCCAAGAGTAAAATAGATATTGCGGATTGGGACCACAATCATGGGGTATCTAAATTAAATTTATATCTTATGAAGAGGCTTACATAAGTTATACATATGTTACTTTACTTGGCAAGACACATTTTTCCTAATAAAGGGTAGATAAGCTGAGTTGATTTTCACACTCCAAAAATTGATTTTTACGCATTTTCTAACATTTCTATCGCTTTGCATTGTCGCGTATAGGAGTTTGATTGTTTGAACATCAACTCTGGCAGCCTAAAACATGCACTTGCTGTTATAAGAAGGGTAAAGTCAATATCCACAGCATACATTGAGAAGCAAATTAACTCCGCCAGTGGGTTTTTTCGCTGCCAGTCTCAAGCGGATAAAAGAGGAAGGTTACGATAGGCCAGTGACAGCCAGTGTAAAACTTTATCACATCGCTTGACATGGACCACAATGACTGAGAGTAGTAATAGGATGGCTGACATCCTAGGAAGTCCTCATGTTGGTTCATGTAGCTGACCCCACTAATGGGATTAAGGCATTCAAGCAGAAGAAGAAGAAGAAGAAGAAGAAGAAGAAGAAGAAGAAGAAGAAGAAGAAGAAGAAGAAGAAGACGGCATTGGGAAGCAAATTGATTCATTGCTGTTTCACCGTTTCTTCATTCCATTTACAAAATTACCAAAATCAAGGGACCATAAGATGATAACATGACTATTGTATATGGCCCTCTAAACCTATGTAAAGGATGTGCCTAGCTACACAACAGGATCCATAAGATTATAAGAAGTTTTCCATGGAATATACACTCAACAAAAGTCCAACAAATGAATGTTTGATTCACCTGATATTAGGCTATTAGCATCTCTAACGTTTCATATCAAAAGTCAAAACCATTGCATGTGGACTTCCGTATGTTGAGTAATGAGTATTGTAAAAACATGGTCAGCAACTTGTATGTAAGAAAAACAGTGCATCTAAGAAAAACAGTGCATTGAAGAAAAGAATGTGCGTACTAAAGGATTAAGACTCTTCGCCTTCCTGTCAAGATACTGAAAACTGGTCACTGTCACATGCTAATACTATACCAAAATGTACATTGGTGGTAAATCTCGGTCTGAGCTCCTCGTCTGCTGCTTTGGTTCTCAGATTGGATCGAAAAGGACAAGAGGAAAAAATGAAGATAGAACTGCAAACTACTACGGAGTACAAACTAACTGCACGTCTGCACACTGCACAGGCTATGAATGAAGTGTGAGAGTGAGTTACGCAAAACTACCTTAGCAATGCCACTGCCATGAAACATACCAGCAACTCAGCTCTGACCAGCAGCATAGCTCAGATTACATGGACTCAGAAGTGACCTGTGCGACCCTAGTGCACACTACTAATGAATTAGACTTGGAACACAGTAGATTTTGTAAGCAACTCGGCTCCAGCAGTATTGGACCCCAAATCATGAGCTTCACTTGTCTCAACATCAGGGCATAATTCCACAGCTTGACCAACCACCTGAAAACTTGATGGCCCTGCTTCACCATCTACATTTTGGCTTAGTCAATTCCAGAAGTTTATCCATCTCCTTGCGTTGCCGCATGGTCAATTGGTTTTTGCCCATCTACAGTAGTCTGGAAAATGGGGCCTCGACACTGAAGGAATTGGAAGGCAAACTGTCATCATTCTCCAAGACCCCCCTCCAAATTCAAGTCATGGTCAAGAGCCTTTTCCTCATCGGAACTTCTGACAGATTTAGTATCTCCAATTAATCATCGTCACTTTCAACAATAATGACATTAGCCAGACCAGAAGAATATGAGGTACTTTTGCTACCTCATCAGAGTTCATAGTAACTATGACGGCCATGACTTTTCCCATCAGAAATAGGCTCATATTCCGCCATCAAACTCAACTACTCAAGTCAGGATGCACGGTCCTAACCTCAGAAGAATCCATGACAATATTAGACACCACAATACCACTCATTAGAGTCGTATCAATGCTATTCGCAAAAACAAAGATAGTGAAGAGCAAAGACAACAGCAAACATAAAGGGTGAAAAATAAATATTCCAAACGATACATTTATTGGGCAGATAAAATAAAATCAGTGGTAGAACAGATGCTTAAAACCAGAAAAATAAGGTAAGAACTATCATGAAGTCCAGGAAACAACCTTACAAGTGACAGCAATGCCAACTTCAAGCATCTGACAGTGGAAAGACAACAACAATCTCTGAACTACTTAGATGGGAATAAGAGTTTAGGAGAGCCTCCAAATTCAAAACCGGCATGCATGCAATAGCATCAAGGATTGATATTAAGTCACTCAACAAATGGTTCGAGAATAATAGTCCTGCAAAATTTTGGCCGGGATTGCTAATTAAGTTTACTCAGCTGATGACACAGGAATCAGAAGATGAAATAATTCTCCTAAAATCCGTAGCATTTTTTTTTTTTTTAAATGTCAAAAACTTGTGCACCATAACTTCCTTAAGTCAATGGAGTGCAACCAGACAACCAGTATACTCCTGTGGACAATAGTTCTTTTTGAACTATAGCAGTCAGTCTTTCACTTCATTTGCAACACTAGAACAAAACATTCATGAAGTAGCACCACAATAAAAGAGAATACAACCAAAAGCCCCAACTCTCAGAACATAACAGGCATCAAAGAGCGTAAAATAGAGTAAAAGAAAATTAATCACGATTCCACCATTACGAAACAAAAATGTTTAGAGAACTCTCGACATACTTTAGAGTAGAACATACAATCTGCTATGTGTCTCAAAATCTTTCACTAAAGCTACCATCACTAATTGGAGTAGACAAGTAACCAAACAAGTTGATAAGGAAAAAATTGTTGATAGTTGCAAAGGACGCTGCACCAAAAAGAAAACTGCACCATCGGTGTATACACCATCCTCAATATAACTATTTCCTTATTTCTTCTTTCCAGCTTCTGCAGCTTTAGTCTGCCAAAAAAAAAAAAAAAAGGGGGTCAAAAAACGAGTACAGCAATCTGCACCTTGACAATTTGAAAAGAATAGACTCCATAGCATGAAAGGGTTATGTATACCAGAGAGCCAAAGCTCAAGAGAACATAGGGGAAAAAAAAAAAGTCAAAGTGACGACAATACAAGTGCATTGTCCTACCTTCTTAACACCACGAATCTTCTTAGCTCTGTTCTTTCGCTCCTTCATTTGTTTCCTAGACTTCTCAACCTTGGTGGCCAATCCATTCTGAACCAAACAAAAGGCAAAGGAAGGTGGGCAATCAGAAAAAAATATACAGAGCATGAGAGCAAAACACGACAGCTCACTCCCCATTTGGCCATTTCAATAGGTACAATAGAAGAGAGATGGAATTAACATATTTACCCTGATCAGCCTGTATTTGGGCTCGTACTTCTTCGCACTATCGACAGAATCATAAATCAAACCAAATCCAGTTGATTTACCACCTCCAAAGTGAGTACGGAACTTGAAGACGAAGATGGAGTTGGGATCATTCACATCATACATCCTAGCTAATTTTTCTTTCAACTCCGCCTGTGAGAAAGGGAAAAAATGTGGTAAGACATTCATCAACGAGATGCAAAAGGCAACACAGATTCATATTACAATGAAGATTGTGAAAGCTACAACAAATCCATACAATCTTCTCAGCAATTTTGGAATGAAATAATGCATAGTTATGTTAATATCAATACTAACATCATAAATTAATAAAGGAACACCGTTCTTCTAATATGTAAACATGTAAATTAAGGGAAACCCATTGAAAATGAAACAATCAACAAGCAAGACTGCAAAATGAAACCCTGTAATACAAAGGTAGGTATGGCAGTATTCACACTTGCAATGATCCATAAATTTCTAATGCCAAAAGTAAATTAGTTTCAGAGGTTGGTATTGGCAAAGCAGCGATTACTACATTATTGCCATACACCTAGTACATGTTTCTATTCTTAATACTGATGTCCACAATAAAATGAAAAAACGAAACAAGCACCGAAGTTGAATTGACTATATTCATACAAAAAAGACACAGCATTCACTAAAGAAAATCAATAAAAGCTGCTTAAGCACACCTAGTTTAAGCATAATCAATCATTAAAAAAAAACATGGAATACTAATCAATTAACCCAAGTATACTAATGTTGCAAATTTCATCAAATAATGATCAATTAAACTAAGTATATGTTGCAAATTTGATATGTGCGAAACAATAATTCCAATCTCTAACACTGATTGAATGCTAATAAAAACAAAAATAAAATAAAATAAACTGCGATAAAGAATCGAGAAATGCAGATCAAACCTTGGAAACGTTAGCGCGGCCAGGGTGAAGAACATCGATGACCTGAAATGTAAAAGAAGAGCAACGAAAAACAAATTAGGGTTTAAGAAATCAAAATTAACAATTTAAAGAAAGGAAAATGGAAGAAACAAGGAGTGAAAACTGACGAATTGCTTCCTAGAAAGAAGACGATTAGTCATGAACTTGCGAGTTCTGAGTGTGACAGCCTTTTCCGCCATTTTTGCTTTCTCTCTCTAGTTTCTCTCTCCTCTGGTGCAGGGGACTTGCGGCTGATTTCCAACTTCAAGGTTACACGGCGAAGAAGAGAGAGCGAAGGGAAAAGAAGAAGGTGATGAACTAGCTAGGGTTTTCTTTTATGTGGGTTTACGGCTTTTGGGTTTTGTAATCACTTTTTTTTTGGGCCTTTTATTTGAGCCCAGTATCTGCCATTGTCGAGTAGTCCATTAAAGGAGTATTTTATTATCCTGCGTGAAAAGAACATTTGGTTAATTTTAAGGACACTCCCTTTCTTGCATATTGGCTACATGAGTGTAGGGTGTTCAGGGCTTATGATGGTCAATGAGGGGTAATTTCATGTTTCTCTTATTGATTAATATGGCAAGTATGAAGTATTTATAATAGGTAATTGGAGTAGATTTGTGATGTTAGCAATAACATAAGTTAATGTTAATTTCGTGAATAATGAATACGAATTTAGAGAGCTTTTTCAATGGAGATTTCAGAAGTTCAAGGGTTGCTTCAATAGAGGAATATGATTTCCCTACCCTTCAGGGTTGACCATGCTCTTTATTTCTCCCTTTTTCTTAGAACTTTCGCTTAATTCGGTAGTGAAGCTGATGGAAATGGTGGTGGAGAAGAAATGTGTAGAAAATGGTGGTGTCGGTGGATGATGCGTGAGGATTTAAGAAAATGTAGGTGGACAAAAGCTCACAATCAAGCTCCTTCAACAGAGCTTGCTGAGGAGGAAGAAGAAGAGTGAAGATGAAGGTGGATGGGAAAAGGAGGAAGATTACGGAAAGTCAATGATGTTAATCCTACAAATGACATCTCACGTTTCTTAATTGAGAAATTGGGCCTCATTCATCAATCAAATCAAGATGGACACGAGCAAGATTGAATCACCAAGTTTTTGGGTGCCTTGTAATTTGGGACGTTATAGTGAATGTGATGACATGTATTAGTAAAAGTCTGACAACAACAGAAAACATTATTAAAAAAAAAAAAAAATTGACAATTTTGGGTAGGAATCACCACTATTGGACAAAGCTTCATTCTTAAATTATATTTTCATACAAGTAAACATTAGGATTACAATAATGTGGCCTAGATCACTTACAACAATGACCTAGAAAACACTTACAAGCTTAAAGACATTCAAAGGTGGTTAGGTTTGGATTCTAAGACGAAGTAAGGGCATATTATGTTATTTACCCTATTATTTAAAAATGAACTTATCTTATACATATTAGTCTAATTCGAGCTTATACTAACTCATATTAATTGTAATCTAAACTTATTTTTCTTGAAATAAGTATATTAAGGTTGTTAGAAATTTAGAGCATGGCCTAATTCTTCAATTTTTCAAATTTAATATGCTATCAAATATGATCTTGCTAACGAAGACATTAAATAACCATTTATAATATTTTCTAAAATGGTATTAATATAGGAATGCATGCCAAAATCACAGAATTTACTCCGTAATACAGCATTTAATTATTTTAGGACAAAGACTTAGAGTTTACTCCGTAATACAGCATTTAATTATTTTAGGGGCGTGGGCGCGTGGCTCGGTGGCACTTTGTATATTGGGAATTCGAGTGACCAGAGATAATCTTGAATATAGAGCTTAAAAATGGCTGCTCTTCCACTAATTTCTCTTTCTCATCCCTTACAAACCCATCTTCTTCACTTGCCCTCAACAAAATCCCAGCTCCAAAATCAAATTTCATGCCCTAAATTCTCATCGGGTGACCTTCAATCTGTTAGATTTCGTAGTAAAACTACGAAATTGAGAAGCAAGTCCAATGACCCAGGTGAGGTTGATCGTATGTTCAAGGATGAAAATGGCGTCGTTAATGATATGGAAGGTTACCTCAATTCTCTCTCCCTCGAATATGATTCTGTTTGGGACACCAAACCCTCGTGGTATTATTTCTATTTGCAACCCCCCCCCCCCTTTTTTTTTTTTTTTTTTTTGTCTTAAATTCATTTTTTTGTGGGAGTTCCTTATTTTTGTGGGAAAATCTTTACTCTGTACTATGAAGCTTTAATTAAGTGATTGTCAATTGTTGTCATTGTTTGTTGAAATTGAGGAATAGTTTGCTATGTTATAACATTTGCGTTTGATTGTACAAAATGTACCCTATGCATATACACTGTTTGATACTGAAAACATGAAATGGCATTCATGCCATGTAAGAGGCTCTCTTCTCATAAATTGTTGACCAATTAGTTGGAAGAGATATATTGTGATCACAGCGGTTCCTCTATACAGTTTGTGAGGGGAGAAACCGGAAAATCAATGCCTGTCTGTCTGTCTAGCGTTCCAGTAGGTGTAGAATTTGTTCATTATATCTATTTCAGTAAAAGTATGAGATTTGAGCTTGGATATGAAGAAGGGGTAAAAAGGCTTTAAAATGTGTATCGTGTAGCTCGGTTAAATGGTTAGTTCATTAATTGTTTATAGGAGGATAGGGTGGTAGATTGGTGGTTTCCAATTTGAAGCTTTAAGTCCTTTTGGTTTCAAAGTACTCCGTATGTATTTGTGTATGCCCATAGGGTTATTTGAGGATGGTACTGGTTTTGGCTTCACAGTGTTCCTTGTTTTCCTTTTTGTTTTAAGTGTATAATGCTAAATTGGAGAAAGAATTACAATGGAATAAACAGAATGTCTCCAAATTCCTTTGATCCTTTTTATAAATAGCAAGTTGTTTAATCAAAGGCCAAACTCAAAAGACCTCGAGGAGCCTTGCTGGATGGACAAGGTTGCAGTACTATGTTGGTAGATTGGATGGTAGGCAAGTGAAGACATTGCTACTTTTTAATATTTTATTTATTTTTACTCCTGCTTCACAGACTCACAGCTCCTGAATGAGAAACCTTTTACTGAATAAATAAAAATTGGGGTCCTGATTCTCATTTTTGTCTAGTCTAGATCTGGAGGATTTAGAAACCTTTGATGGCATTATGATCTACCAAGTATGATTTATCGTTATGTATTTCCTGTTACCATCTTTAGTCTCTTGATTTTCTTGTCAGCTCAAAGGGCCCTAAATCACCAATTGTAAATTTGTGATATTTCCAGAATTTCATATCACTGTATTATAACCTATCGCAAGAGAATTTCTTTTTTCCTTCTTTTTTAACCTTTGAGGGAAACTTATTACAAGAGATCAACTATTAGAATTACTGCAATTATACTCTATGCTTCAGCCTCAGTCTCAGTCATCTCAGTTGGCCAGTTATCCATAAGGGAGATGTGGTTGCTTTGTGTGTTGAAAATTACAAGTGATTTGAAGAGTATGCAAGAAAACATTTTGTCTAAACATGCATCATACCGATGATTTGAAGAGTTTGCAAGAAAACATCTAGTCTGATACAGTTTGATGTTAATTGTCTTTCAGATGCAGACTAATTTACAAGTATACAACAGCTTTTCAAGTTTGACAAAGAAATAATATGTTAACTGAGTAATTTGAGATCTATATCTTTGATACTGACCAGTGACCACAAATGTATTATCTTTCTGTTTTTGGTATTTTTTTTAATCTTCGGAATTGTTCAATTATAGTTGACGGATTTGTTTTCTACAATTTTGTGGTAGGTGTCAGCCATGGACAATAGCCCTGACTGGAGTATCGGTGATTGCATGCAGCTGGCTGGTTCTGCACTCCGTTATTGTTACTGCTTTAGCTTCCTCTGCAATCTTTGCATGGTGGTACATCTTCCTATATTCATACCCTAAGGTTTGAGATTCCTCCTCAGTTACAACTTCAGTATTACATATGGTCAATACTCAATATAGACTGTTGGTCCAGTGTTGCTTGGTTCAATGAAAGCAGAACATGCTCACCCGTAGAATTTGAATGTCCTCTTTTGTCTTTTCAGTCTTTGCTGATGTATGCTGTCAAGTTTCTCTAAAAAAACTACTATTTTTTGACAGTTTCAATAGACATGCAAACTGAAGCATATTTTTACTGGGTTTGAAGGATCTGTAAACAGAACACCCCAGACTGCTCCACTTTTTTTATTTCCTCTTAGCTTTAAAATAGTCAAACTCCAACTAAGGCACTGAGACTGGTTTAGTACTCTGTTGATTGTTCGATTTACTTTTCATACTCAATGCTTCTTGTACTTGAGAAACTCCAAATCTATAACTATAATGTGCGCAACTTGCAAATCACCAACCCTAGTATACCCAGGAATGCCCCCTATGCTCCTTCAAAATTCACAACATACCTTTAGAAGTTTCCTGATTTTCGAAATACCCATGGGAATGCAATTTTATGAATTAGATAACCCTCTCTTGTACACCTCTTACGTGAAGTTAACCAAAATTATAGAAGCCATTGTATTGGACTTGAAAACACTCAAGTTTTGACTAGCTTTGGAGAGGAATGATAAATATGATACACAATGAAAAAACATATATTTTCTTTTCCTTTCAGGCATATTCAGAAATGATTGCTGAGCGCAGAAAAAGAGTGAAAAGCGGCACAGAGGACACTTATGGATGGTCAAAGAACCAGTGATTACAATGGACAACACCGCAGCAGAAGGGGCTCTTTCTTTCTCCTCTACCCTACCAAAGGCCGGGGGGTCGAGCAAATGATGATAATCAGGATGAAATGTTCCAAATGAGTTGCATTAGTGCATATCCTTCACATGGCTATTGACATAAGGCAGAGCAAAACGTTGGAATAGTCTTGTTCCTCGTCTGCAGAAACTTTGCAAATAAAATTTGAGATTCGATTTGTTGTGAACTGTTGTCATAATCATCCAATTATCACATCATAACAACAGTGTTGTACAGTTGAATTATGTACTAGTAAAATCCAATTTAACATCAGGTGACTTTGCTAGGACAAGTACTCTTGTGGCATCCTTGTAGTTGATTATTGACTTAAAAATTTTGCTTTGTGATATTGAATCTTTACAATTGGTTATTGGCCAAGTAACTCCCCCCCCCCCCCCCCCCCCCCCCTCGTTGTATTTAAAAAAAAAAAAAGTAACTCCCTCTGTTCTTTATAAATTACTCTATTCGACTTTTTTAAATGCTCCCAAGTAATGATTTTGTGATGGTTTCATTGTTTATGTACCCACTTGCAGAAACCAGCATAAAACTTGTCATGTACATTGCCGTCGTAAAGCAATCTTACAAATAGTTTCAGTTCTGCCATTCTAGTATGCGTGAGGATGCTTTTGCACATTTTCAATTATATGGATCAAGTTACATCCCGGAAGATCCCACAAGTAATGCAGGGATCTTCCAATCCACTTACAATATACTTTCCATCCGTCACAGCGAATTACGTTGTTAACACGCCCCTGCTACACTTTCAAGAATTTTCCTGTCAAGTAGAGCTTGAGAGCTTCTGCATGCAACATCAAAGAAAAACAGAGAAATGAAACGCCAAACTGTTAATAGGCAGCAAGTCAGCAATCAGCAACCAGCAACTATGATATTGTACATAAAGCCTAGAAAATCCAACATATGCCAATAAATTCCATGATCCACAGTGGTCATAGGTATAGAAATGAAAATTTCCAACTACCTTTAATACATACTACTGATACTAGCAAAGTAGCAAGTAGCAACTGCATTGAAAACACAAAAAAAGTTTTAATGCAAAAGTTAACTCGACGAAGTTATCTAACAGAGTGAACTCTCTATGTTCCATGACTTCTTCCCTTCATATTACAGCAGCAAATTTCCTAAGTCTAACACATCAATACGGAAGCAAATTTCCTAAGTCTATGTTCCCAAACAAGTGAAAGAAACTTTCATGTTGGATTTCTGTAAACCAGACCTCCGAAAAGATTCATTTGTCCTCTCTTTAATTACAAATATAAGCAAAGCCCTCCTAGCATTACAATGGCTAAAAGATAACAATTTTTTTTTTTTCTATCAAGTGTAAAATAGCCATAACAAGTGTAATAGCCATTGTGTGCTGTACTTTCAAATTCTATTTACTTTGGTAAATCAAGAATGGCATTTAAGAAAAAGTTAACGTGCCATCTGATAAAATAAGGTTTTGGTTTTGGACCATGCAATAACACCGGAAATAGAATGCACGAAGGAATCAATAACTTGGTACTTCAACAAACAAAAACTTAAATTAAACAATATTTGGCCAAGTGGCCAACAGAAATCAGACGTTGTAAGACAATTCTTTGCCCTGTTCTTTACGGTCATTTCTTTTGACACATCAAAAGATGTTATTAGCTAATTGGATCGTAGAGATTTTTGGTCTTTCGAAAAGTTTTATAATTGGTTTTGAAAGAAAACAATGTTGACTAGTTCAGAGCAAAGGATGCCCAAAATGTCACAGTTCTTGTTCTCTAGCCAGAGAAAATGAGAGATTATCAGTATATCACGTATGATTTACTTAGAGATGAGCTAACAAGCTTCTGTCTCGTTTGAATTTTCCCTATCTCCAATGGTTTTGTTTTCAATATTTTGTGCCAACTGCTATGCCCCGTCTTCCCCATCAGACGTATCTATTGACTCAGTTGTAATCCTTACCTTTAATTATCAGCATATGTACTTTCAAGTGACCATTTACTACTATAAATGCCACTCTCATCTCTATTGTTACTACTTGTCAAGAAAAAAGTTTCACCTCACAAAGTCAAATATACACTGATATCACCATGGGTTTTGGATGGTCTGCTACATTCATATTCCTTTTAGTTTTATCCTTTGCAGTACTTGTTATTGATTTCTTTGTGCTTGCTAATGCTAACCTCCCTTCCTTGCAGCAATTGTGCCATGATCATGAGAAGTCTGCTTTGCTTCGTTTCAAGCAAAGCTTTCTTCTTAATTGCTCTGAATCATCTTATGCCTTTGCATATCCTAAGGTGAAATCATGGCATGATGATCATCTGTTGGAAAATGCAACTGTAAGCAGTGATTGCTGTAGGTGGGATGGTGTTAAGTGCAATGAAGAGACGGGTCACGTGATTAGCCTCGACCTTAGTAGCAGTTGCCTTTATGGCACCTTCCCTCATAACAGCACACTCTTCAGCCTTAATCATCTCGGTGAGCTTGATCTTTCTTATAATAACTTCAACTATTCTCAAATCCCCTCTGACATTGGTCATCTGTACAAGCTCACACATCTCAACCTCTCCGAGTCAGTTTTTAGTGGTCAAATTCCGCCAGAATTTTCAAAACTGTCACATCTATCTCTTCTTGATCTTTCTCATAACGGAGATCCTACAGTTGTCAATGAGAAGTCAAATCTGAAACTTGGTGATTTGAGTGTAGAGAAGTTGGTTCATAATTTAAGTCGTTTAACCCATCTTTATCTTAACTCAGTTGACATATCTTCTGAGGTACCCCTTATCATAAGCAACCGAACTTCCCTAAAAGCTATCTCCCTTGATTACTGCAATCTACTGGGTGAATTCCCAACAAATCTTTTCCGGCTACCAAATCTTGAACTAATTTCATTGCTTTACAATCCCAAATTAGGAGGATATCTCCCCGAATTTCATTCTTATAGTCCTCTTCGTGTTTCACATCTCTATGGAACTAGATTTTCAGGAGAGTTGCCAGCTTCACTTGGAAATCTAGTTTCCTTGAGTGTTCTTGATCTGCAGTTTTGTGAATTCTCTGGAAAAATTCCATCTTCAATAAGTAACTTGACAGACCTCACCGTACTGGGCCTTGCGATTAATTATTTTACTGAACTTCCTCACTCAATCATGAACCTAACGCGCCTTACTGGTTTATCTCTTTCAAACATGATGAATGTTAGGACTGGTCGGAATATTGAACCTAAGCTGAATTCACTCACTGCACTAGCCCTTCCCCAAATGAATTTAGACAATGAAATCCTGCCTGCTCTGTCTAACTCTAGCAGATTCACTATTTTGGCTCTTTACGACAACTTGTTAACAGGTCCACTTCCGAGTTGGTTTATGAATCTAACCCAATTAGACACCTTAGAACTACATGGAAACCAGTTGCTAGGTCCAGTCCCACCCTGGATTTATAACCTTAATAATCTTCGCACATTGACTTTGTCATTCAGGGGTGCAGTTGGCAAGCTTGACCCATTTATCATGCTCCCTAATCTCCTTGTTTTATATTTGGATGGTGTTCGCCTCACATTTCCTTCAAATACAAGCACCAATTCATCGTCTCTTTTGAGGTTGCAGTTTTTGAGTCTTGATTCATGCAACTTGAACGAGTTCCCCAAGTTCCTACAATATCAAGATAAGTTAGAAACACTCTCTCTCTGGGGAAACATCATAGGTGATATCCCACAATGGTTAGTGAACACAACTAGAAAGAGTCTCTTGTCATTAAACCTTTCTAATAATCTTTTAACAGGTTTTGAAAAACCTCTGGTTTTTCTCCCATGGAAAAATTTGAAAATATTAGATCTTAGTGATAACAAATTGCGAGGGCCACTTCCAATTCCTCCAAGTTCCATTCAAGTTTATCAAGTCTCAAATAATCATTTCTGTGGAGTTCTTTCCAATCATATGTGTCGTGCAACTTCTTTAGTCTACCTCGACTTATCTGAAAACAATCTTACGGGCAAGATTCCAAGCTGCATTGATCACCAGCTTAGTGGTTCTTTGCAAGTCCTAAACGTACGAGGCAATAAATTTGGTGGTGCCATTCCAGAAACATTCTCAAAATCATGTCAATTGAACATGATAAATTTAAGCCAAAATCAATTTGAGGGCAGGCTCCCAAAGTCATTAGTCAATTGTACATTGCTTGAGGTACTTGATGTCGGAAGTAATCGTATTAATGACACTTTTCCCTATTGGTTAGGAGGTATTCCCAAGCTGCAAGTTCTTATCTTGAGGCATAACAACATCCACGGGCAGATAATAACCCCATTGTCTGGTTCGGTTGGTCAGGATTTTCATTGCTTGCGTATTATTGATCTGTCTAATAATTTTCTTACTGGTAACTTACCATCTAGGTACATTCAAAGTTGGGTTGCAATGGCAGTTTCAACTGAAAACTTGTCAAACTCAACCAACTCTTTTTTTCGACTATATTATATGCATGATTATTGTTGATAAGTATTAGGTGACTCGTACTTCGTAGCTTTGTCCGCCCGATCGGGCGGACATTGCCCGGTCTGACCGGGCGGTGGGGGTTGGATACGTTGAAGCATTCGTATGGAGTTTTCTTCTCGCGCCCGATCGGGCAGACCTTGCCCGGTCTGACCGGGCGGAGAAGGAAAAATGCGGAGACGCGGATTTTACGATTTAAAGTTATCTTTTATGTTATCTTTTTGCCCAAGTATCTTTTATTTTAGGGATTAATATAAAACCTCCCTAATATTAGTATAAGGGTTAAGAGAGAGAGAGTGAGAGCCGTTCTTGAGAAATACAAGAATCATCTTTGTAATCTTTGCAGTTTATAGTGAAATCATTCGATCTCGGTGCCCGTGGACGTAGCTATCACATCGATAGTGAACCACGTAAATTCTTGGTGTTGTTCTTATTGTTTGCATTGAATTTCTTTATTGTTTTCTTGTTTGTTTTCGACCTTTGCTTCCGCTGTCGCACAACAATTGGTATCAAGAGCTCAGGTTCAATCCTTGGAGAGTTTCTTGAAGATAACAATGGCAGGAGATTCAACAATAAGAATTGAGAAGTTTACCGGGAAAAATAGTTTCGGGCTATGGCAAATTAAGATGAAGGCTCTGTTAAAACAACAGCAGATATGGCGTCCGTTGGCTCCAAAGAGTACTACTTCGGAGTCAGAAGATGGACCGACTGACCCGCAGTTAGAAGTTATGGAAGAGAAGGCACACTCTACCATATTACTTAGTCTTGATGATCAAATCATCACGGAGGTGGCTGATCAGGAAACGGCGGCTGGATTGTGGCTGAAGCTGGAGTCATTGTATATGACTAAGTCGTTGACCAACAAATTATTACTGAAACAGCGGTTGTTTAGCCTCCGGATGCAGTCAGGTACTTCCTTACGGGAACATCTAGAAAAACTTAACTCTATTTTGCTTGATTTACGTAATTTAGATGTTAAAATTGATGATGAGGATGCTGCGTTGATTTTACTTGTATCTCTACCGTCTAGCTTTGAGAATTTTGTAGAGTCTTTTGTTGTTGGTAAGGATTCTATAACCTTAGAAGAAGTGAAGGCAGCACTTCATACTAGGGAACTCAGAATGAAAGCTACGAGTGATAATGGGGATAATGGTAGTGGGTTGTTTGTTAAGTCCGGAAAGTCTAAAAAGAATAAGGGGTTTAACAAGGGGAACAATGCTGGGTCGGGTGCTGGAAACGGCAAGGATGGATCTAGTAAAACTACTACTAAAACATGTTATTACTGTAAAGAACCGGGTCACTTTAGGAATAATTGACCGGTGAGGAAAAACAAGTCCCAGGCTGCTGTAGTTGAAGAGAAACCGAATGAGAGCTATAATTCAGAGGAAGATTTAGCATTAGTCAGTTCTGCTAGGTCTGATGATTTATCTGATAACTGGGTTCTAGATTCGGGGTGTTCGTTCCATATGTGTCCACGTCGAGATTGGTTTGATACATATGAACCTCGCAATGGGGGTATGGTTATAGTCGGTAACAATGCTCCATGTAAGGTCACAGGTATTGGTTCCATGAGGTTGAGGACTGTTGATGGGCGGAGGTTAACTTTGACTAATGTACGGCATGTTCCTGCTTTAGGAAAGAATCTGATTTCATTGGGTACCCTGGATGACTTGGGGTACAATGGTGTGTTTTCAGATGGGGAGTTGTGTATTTTCAGAGGTTCTGAGTTGGTACTTAAGGGTATCAAAAGGAACACCCTCTATGTTTTTGAGGGTGTTACACTGCCTAGTTCTGCGGTTTGCGCATCTGTATCTCACCAGGAGATGACTAAGATTTGGCACATGAGGCTTGGTCATATGGGGGAGAAGGGGATGCAGCTATTGTCCAAGAGGGGTCTTCTATCCGGGGTCAAGGTTGCCAACCTTGAATTTTGTGAGCATTGTGTGTTTGGTAAGAAACACAGGTCAAAGTTCAGCAAGGGTGCTCACATTACTGATGCAGTGCTCGATTACATCCATTCAGATTGCTGGGGTCCATCTAGAGTTGAAGGTATGGGAGGTTACCACTATTTTGTGTCATTTGTTGATGACAAGTCCCGATACACATGGCTTAGGTTGCTTAAGTCAAAGGATGAGGCCTTCAAAGTTTTCAAGCAATGGAAAGCTTTGGTGGAAAATCGACAAGGAAGGAAGATCAAGAAGCTACGAACGGACAATGGGCTAGAGTTTTGCAAAGACGAGTTTAATCAGTTCTGTGCAGATGAGGGTATAGGTCGGCATCATACTGTCAGGAAGACACCACAGCAGAACGGTGTAGCAGAACGGGTTAATCAGACACTGCTAGAGAGAGTTCGATGCATGCTCTCTAATGCAGGGCTTGGGAGGAGGTACTGGAGTGAAGCTGTGTTAACAGCTTGTTATGTCATTAATAGGGGTCCTCATTCTGGAATTGATTCCAAAATTCCGTTTGAGATCTGGAGTGGTAAGTTGCCTAATTTTTCGAATTTGAAGATTTTTGGTTGTGTTGCTTATTATCATGTTATTGAGGGTAAGCTGGATCCACGAGCCAAGAAGGGGTGTTTTGTTGGGTACGGGGATGGTGTGAAGGGGTTTAGAATTTTTTCACCTTCGGAGGGTCGGGTCATTCTTAGTAGGGATGTTACTTTCGATGAAAACACCATGTATTCAATTAAAAATGCAGAGATTTCAGATTTGAGAAGGGAAGGAGACAATTTATTACAGACAGATGGGGTACTTGAGGTACATCAGTCTACCATTGCTGATTTACCTCGGGTACAATATATTGATGATGATGCTGATGTTCCAGTGCCGGGTACTCCTGAACCTGAGATTACTCCTACTCATTCTAACTCTGGGGATGAGGTGGAGCAATCTAATCAGGGGTCATCTAGTCAACCTGACACCATTCTTGAGATGCCTAAACGAGTTATCAAGAAGCCTGTTAGATTGATTGAAGAGATGGAGGGAAGAAATTGCTGTGTTGATGCGATGACAGGTTATGCATTGAGTGTAGCTGATGATGTAGAGTCATTTGAACCTGCCACATATAAACAAGCAATTAGTTGTAGTGAGTCTGCGCAATGGCTTGCCGCAATGGGTGAAGAGATGCAGTCTCTTTACAAGAACAGAGTGTGGGAACTGGTAAAGGTACCGGAAGGGAGGAAGCTTGTGGGTTGTAAATGGATTTACAAGAAGAAAGAAGGGTTGTCGGAAACTGAGCAAATACGTTTTAAGGCTAGGCTAGTTGCTAAGGGGTTCAGTCAGGTAGAAGGGGTTGATTTTGTTGAGATATTCTCACCTGTGGTTCGACATACTTCTATCCGTGTGTTATTGTCAATTGTAGCACATTTTGATCTTGAGCTGGAGCAGTTGGATGTTAAAACGGCTTTCCTTCATGGCGATTTGGAGGAGGAGATTCTGATGAAGCAGCCCGAAGGATTCGAAGTTCCTGGAAAGGAACACTATGCCTGCAGATTGCTAAAGTCATTGTATGGACTTAAGCAATCCCCCCGACAGTGGTACAAAAGGTTTGATTCTTTTATGGTTTCACAAGGTTTTGACAGGAATTCATATGATTGCTGTGTGTATCATAGTAAGCTGGATAATGGTTCCATGATTTATCTTTTGTTATATGTTGATGACATGTTGGTTGCCACAAAGAATAAATCTGATATTGCTAGATTAAAGGAGATGCTTAACTCGGAGTTTGACATGAAAGACTTGGGTGCAGCTAGGAAGATTTTGGGTATGGAGATCTACAGGGATCGGGCTAGAGGTAAGCTTTTCTTGACTCAGAAAAGCTACATTGAAAAGATTTTGTCTCGTTTTGGGATGGAAAAATCGAAGCCTATAAGTACGCCAACTACTGTTAGTTGTAAGTTGTCTTTGTCTATGTCACCTCAATCAGAGGAGGAGTTGTCTTATATGTCTAGAGTTCCATATGCAAACGCGGTTGGTTGTTTGATGTATGCTATGGTCTGTACTAGGCCGGATATTGCGCATGCTGTTAGTGTTGTAAGCAGGTTTATGGCTCGACCTGGGAGGGAACACTGGCAAGGGGTGAAAAGGATTTTTCGCTACCTGAGAGGGACAACTGATATTGGTCTTGTGTACGGGAATGGTAGGGAATGCTTGGTCACTGGGTACAGTGATTCTGATTATGCAGCTGATGTGGATACCAGGAGGTCTGTGACTGGTTATGTGTTCACTTTGGGTGGTTCTGTGGTTAGTTGGAAGTCTACATTGCAGTCATCAGTTACGTTGTCAACTACTGAAGCTGAGTATATGGCTTTAACTTCTGCAGCTAAGGAGTCTATTTGGCTCAAAGGCCTAGTAGGTGAACTGGGTATTGCACAGGATTTTGCTACAGTGTATTGTGATAGTCTAAGTGCGATTTGCTTAGCTAAAGATCAAGTACACCATGATCGGACGAAGCACATTGATGTCAGGTATCATTTCTTGCGTACTGACAAGAGGATTAAGGTGAAGAAGATTGGGACTGCTGACAACCCGGCTGATTTCTTCACTAAGCCTGTTCCGTTTAGCAAGTTTAAACATTGCTTAGACTTGCTAAATATTGATTACTACGTGATGTAGTAGGCCCTGAGGGGCGAAGTTGGGGAGCTCCTGGTGTAGGTGTGTTGGCCTTAAGGTGGAGCTTGCCCGGGGCTTGTGATGCAGGTGGAGCATTATGAGTTGTTATACTTGGAGACGAGTATGTGATGGGTCTTGGTTGAAGACTTATCGGGATGTATGGCTTATGCATGAGTCTTGCATCGGGTTTGGCTTGAGATGTTTTTCCACTATGTCTTGATGGGGTCGTTTGCTGACTACGAGTTCTCGTCAAGGTGGAGATTGTTGATAAGTATTAGGTGACTCGTACTTCGTAGCTTTGTCCGCCCGATCGGGCGGACATTGCCCGGTCTGACCGGGCGGTGGGGGTTGGATACGTTGAAGCATTCGTATGGAGTTTTCTTCTCGCGCCCGATCGGGCAGACCTTGCCCGGTCTGACCGGGCGGAGAAGGAAAAATGCGGAGACGCGGATTTTACGATTTAAAGTTATCTTTTATGTTATCTTTTTGCCCAAGTATCTTTTATTTTAGGGATTAATATAAAACCTCCCTAATATTAGTATAAGGGTTAAGAGAGAGAGAGTGAGAGCCGTTCTTGAGAAATACAAGAATCATCTTTGTAATCTTTGCAGTTTATAGTGAAATCATTCGATCTCGGTGCCCGTGGACGTAGCTATCACATCGATAGTGAACCACGTAAATTCTTGGTGTTGTTCTTATTGTTTGCATTGAATTTCTTTATTGTTTTCTTGTTTGTTTTCGACCTTTGCTTCCGCTGTCGCACAACAATTATGGTCACTTCTGGTTTCACGAAGAGCTATACAATTATGTTGCTACCATGACCTATAAGGGGAGCGAAACATTCTACACAAAGGTATTGACTGTATTGCGAGTAATTGACTTTTCAAGCAATAAGTTCACTGGCAATATCCCAAAGATCATTGGGAATTTGAAAGGAATTCAGCAACTAAATTTATCCAACAATAATCTTGTTGGTGGTATCCCATCTTCTTTGGCCAACATTACAGACCTCGAGTCCTTAGACCTTTCTCAAAACATGCTTTCAGGAGTGATCCCTCGAGAGTTGACAAAGCTAACCTTTCTTGCGGTCTTTAATGTTTCACACAACCATCTTGTTGGGCCAATTCCTGAAGGAGAACAGTTTAATACTTTTGACAACAACTCTTATGCTGGCAATTTGGCATTATGCGGAGCTCCATTGCTTGAGGAATGCAAGAAAGACTCCATGCCATCACCAACAGATGATGAGACGATTGAAGAGGACACAAAGTTGATTGATTGGATCATTAGATCATTGGGGTGTGTAAGTGGGTTTATAATAGGCTACATCATCGGGAAAATCTATGTAACTGATCGACATCATGATTGGTTTATGGAGACTTTCGGAAGGAGAGGAAGGTCGAAGACAAGAGTGAGGAGATCAATACAGAGGCATAGGAGAAGTTAAAGGGGTTTGGAGATGCAATTGGTTTCTAATCTGTTATTACTTCAGTTTATCTATTTTGTTTGTGTGTGTGTGTGTGTTAATTTGTTTCCCAGTATCTAGTATTGTTTGCTTATGGTCAGTGTATTAGCAAGGATTGTCTGTAATATTTGGCTGTATGAATACGATAACACCCTGTGAGATGAGATATTGTTATTACAGTACAGTATTATTTTTATATATAAGATGCCTTTTTTTTTTTTTTTTTCCTTGTTCTCATTATTTGATGTTCATTCTTCAATAAAAATTCTCAGGACTTACATTTAGCTATATAAAGCTTGATCACTTGGTTGCTCAAGTTAAACAAGCTGATTGAGAGCTGACTGTCAGTTAAGCTTTCTTGAATATTTCATGTTTTTCCTGCAAACTTATTATTCAGCTCATATATTTGGATGTTATTACCATACAAATCAGCTAGCAGGCTCAAATCTTCATTGATTAGCTAGCAGCCTGGCAGATTTAACCCAACTAATAGAAGGTACGAGGTCTGTTATCAATAATCTCGAAGGCCTTTTTTTTTTTTTTTTTTTTTTTTTTTTTACTTCACCTCATTTCGAGACCTTATTGATTTTCATCAAAAAGCAATGAGAAATTTATTGTTTCAAGGCCCTTTTCATATATTAATGTTTAAGTTGAGCAATACAGTTCTTCCACAGCCCCCATGTTCCTCAAGGTGGATCTCTCTTATTTAGCTGCCATGAAGGTCCATTTGAAACCGAAGACAATACTACCTCCATCCGTATAAAGTTCGTATTACTAATTTAAATATGTTAATCCTAGACAGAGGAAGTATAACACACCTTGTTCATTTCCGGAGGACAGATAATCAGTTCTTTGAAGGGGAGAATATGCAGAGTGAAGATTCAGTGATCACAGCAAACTAATCAGAAACAACAGAAAAGACAAAAACAATAAAGCCTAAACAAAAACGAAGTAAAATTATGTTGGGAATCAAAATGGTAGTTCAGATTATCAACAGGGCAGCATTTACACTAACATAGGTCATTAACATAGATATTTACAAGTAGCATAGAATATAAAACAAATCTGACCTGCATCATCTTACTTTACACAAACATCAGCAACTCAGGTCTACTATAGACATTCTCTCCTTCATCCTCCAGGGTGGGGTAAGCTGCTACGAGAGCATCTTGTGCTCCAATATAAAGAGAATTGTAGATCTTCCAGTAGACAATAGTTCAGTACTGCAGCAGCACCCAAAGCAACTCTCATCCCTTCAATGGCTTCTGTAGCAGCATTGATGACGTGAGGTGAGGTTTCGAAGATATTGGGCCACACGTAATTCATAAGGTGCACCAATGCATCTTAACAACCTAATCCTGCAACACCAAGAGCCATGTGTTTCACAGCGGATGCTGCTGTCTGCCTGTGAACCAGGTCCCGGTCCATAAGAGCATCTTCAAGGAGAGGTGTAACAGCATAGATATAATCCTTCCCCATTTCACCAATATTACTCGAAGAGGAAAGAGAGAGATTTGAGAACACCATTCTGTACGTTAAGCTCTGGAACACGATATTCATTCATGAGTGCCGGCAAAACTGTGAAAGGCGAACAAGTCTCTGCAACAATTGCAATAGCCACGGTTGTGCAGACACGGTTCTGACACTCTTGAACCTTGAGATTGTTCAGAAGAGTAGCCAAGACATCTTGAGGTCCGATAGCTTTGGCAATGTAACCAAAGGTGTTGACAGTGGCTCTTCGAATGCCTTTCTTGTGAGCCGGCTTAAATAGAGATAAATCTAATTGTAAATATTTAGAGGGCGTTTAGTTCCGATAATGGAAACGGAATGGAAAGGAAACAAATAAGAGAGGGGAAATGAATCATTTAACTATTACCTTTTCATTTGTTTGGTTTAACCATAGAAAGGAATTAGTTAAACTTTACTCCCTTTGTTTATTTATGTTTGAGGAGGGTAATATACACTCGATAACGGTATAGATTTAATTGAATCCGTTTTCAATCCAAAAAATACACTAATCAAACATGCTCTTAGAAAGCAATGCAAAAGGCAATCACTCCTTTTTAGCAATATCTTCAATAAACTTAATTTTAAATTACTTATAAATCATCTGAAAATATACAAATCATAGTGAATTCCAATAGCATCTACTTGTCAAAGTTCTCTTAACAATAATTTAATCTCTCATGTCCACTGCAATCTTTAGTTCATCCAATAAATAGAGTAACGCAATATGTACTTGTATGTAGTCACATATTTTTCAATGCGAGTATGTTAATAGATTCAATGTAAAATCACTTGTGCTGAAGGCAGAAATCTCTTCATCATAATTCATAACCTCTACGTAGTCAAGTTGCCAAATCTCTTCACCAAGAATCCACTAATACGGTAGCCTATTTAGTTGCAAGATGGAAGACCGATATTAATTCGCCTCGTATTTGTACGGCTTCTTTCCCTAATTTTTTCAAGCTTTGACGGACCTCAATTTAATTAATTAAAAAGCTCGTTCCGTTGTTTAAAAAAAAAAAAAAGAATTTCCCAGCATACTTAAATGTATAGAGATTACATGGGGAATGAAGCATAGCAATCTTAAACAAGTATAAATTGTAAAAGAAAAACATCGCGATTAACAAGAGGGCATTTGGTCTAGTGGTATGATTCTCGCTTCGGGTGCGAGAGGTCCCGAGTTCAATTCTCGGAATGCCCCTTCATTTTTTAATTTCCATCACCTATTTATGAAATGAGTTCTAAGTACTCACAAGCTGCATCAGTACAGACACAGAGAGTCAGAAACATACACTCAGGAATAATGTACATTTCTAACACTTAAACTTAAACTGCTCAAATTCCAGATTGTGGTATGAGCGCAACCCAAGAGTGGTACAAATATAAGCTACTCCGTAATAGACGAAGGATAGTAGGATATATGATGACGAGCAAGTAACAGGGACGAGGAAATCCAACATTCCTGCCACTTGAGAATTTCAGGAAGATTAGATGACCAACCTAATTAGACAATTAATCAATAACTATAACAACAACAGGGCATTTGGTCTAGTGGTATGATTCTCGCTTTGGGTGCGAGAGGTCCCGAGTTCAATTTTCGGAATGCCCCTGATCCATCAAATTTTTGAACCATTTTTTTTCCCTATTTTTTGTCGGTCATGCTAATGTAGTGGCCAAGATTAAGCTCACTGACTAGAGAACATTGGACCAAATTTTGAAAGAATTAGCCAAAGAACTGCTTGCAGCACAAGGGCAGGATCACAGGAGTCTATCCATTATAAGCAAACTAGCTCATCAAAGACAAAACATATTAAGAATATGTTCAGGTATATGAGCTAAGGAATATGAAATCATTGAACATAGTTGTAGCAATAGGCATTTGGTCTAGTGGTATGATTCTCGCTTTGGGTGCAAGAGGTCTCCCAAGTTCGATTCTCGGAATGCCCCTGATCAATCAAAATTATACTGAACCTGTTTTTTTCCCTTAAGGTCACTGGTCTAGAGGTCATCTCAGCACTTAAAAGGTATTCATAAAAATAAAAAAGGTCGCTACTTAGACATATTAGATCCAACATTACAAGAATTAACCATAACTACACAACTATATGATGCATCAGAGCAGGATTACATGAGTGCATTCACAGCAACAAGTTTATCCAAAACCAAATATATCTAGAAAATATCCATGTATATTCAAGTAAAGAGATAATAATAAGTACACATGACAGCAATGTCAGGAATTTAAATCTAGTGGTATTAGGGCTAGTATTTTCATCTAACATATCCCTTTTTGCAATTTAGGTCTTTGTGATAAACATAATGTAAAAAGCCAGCAATATCAGGTCCTTACACCAATTTATAAATGAAGAACAAGGTGAGGAAATAATACTGTAGCTTATATACCATCCATAACAGCTGTAAGTCCACCCCAAATAAGTTACTGTTTTCCTCAGGCTCGACTTAGGTGATGCCGTGATGAAATGAACAAGTCCTCGTAATCCTGGAGCTAAACCTTCCCGAGTACCTATTACAAAAGCTGAACGAGTTCAGTACGAAAAGATAGACTAAGCGATAAGAGTAGGGAGGTTACATAATTACAAGATTCCACTTTGGCATGGCAAGTTCCCGCAGATATAAGCAGATCACTCGACCTATTAACCATTGTCCAGTGAATTGGCATGTACCTAGAATAAATGTTAAACATCAGCAAAAAAAAATATCTAACCATCAGTGCTTCTGCCTCCCATAACCCAATGCTGATCCAGCAAAAAATGAGGTCAAGGAAGGTCATAATATAGGTTACATAGACATACAATGCATACTGCAAAACTGATATGGACTTAGAAACAATGTAATTGCAATTACATACAAAGGGTCACAATTGCACACCAATTATAGATTGGCAATGCATAAACTTAGGGCATATGAGATTGTCTTATCATGCTTACCATGCTTTAAACTTTTAAAGCATGATACTTTTCCCCTTATTCAGGATTACATCACGTGATTCAAAACAGAACAGGAAGTAAAACTTATTTAACATGATTGATCAATGACATTGAACACACAGACTCCTGTATAAAATTTGTCATACCAATTATCCATAAAGGATTAAAGGTATTAGGTATATGATATAAGGATCCTTTGTACTCATGATGCAGCTAGCCCTTGTGATGTTGATCATATCTTGGCAATAAGGTGTTGGTGTTAAGAAGACTTTTTATTTTACTGCACAATCACAGGAGATCTCACACTTAGTTTTGGCTCTTGCTTGCTTAGTATCCTAGTTTTGGATGTGCAGTGCCCAGAATTAGTCAAATACCCTTATTCAGCATCTAAGAACATAGCCCCTACTTTTAACAAGAGGGGTGATTTAGCAAGTTCAACTTATTGGGAATTAAATTAAAAAATTAAACAATCAATTAAATATTATATGCCTGACAATCAAATGGGATAATTAAAAAAAAAAAACTCTGGCAATGAGTTGAAAATTCCAAATACTATGAAGTAACCCCAGTAAACTTTTGGCAACTGATATCTCATATTCAGACCCATGTAATAATGTAGATTTTTACATAATGTTAAACTTAATTATGTAACCATACAAACTAAATACTTAACCCTAGTAAACCTTTTGATTATGTAGCCGACCCCACTTATGGGATTGCTTTGATTGATTGATTGAGTAAACCTTTTTTTTTTTTTTCCTTCCAATTAGACAGCAATTGTAATATATATGCAAATCCTACAGGAACCATGCTAACAGTTAAGAACTTCCTTTCCAACTGAATATGCAGAATTTCCAAGTTTTTGTTCATGACCTCCAATTTATAAAGGGAAAAAAGAATGCAAAAATCAATCAATTCTGAAGCGAATTTAAAGGGAATAAAGGGTCCAAATGAGTGCTGAAAAATAACAAGGAATCTTTATTCAAACTACAAAATCATACCTTCTGGAAAATTTCCATTAATGGGGGTGTTTGTTCTGCTGCTGGGGAATTAACTATGATTGATAATCCAGAAAAATTGCGGGAAAATTGAAGAAATATTATGCATTAATTGGTTTTGCAGAGAGAAAGAGAGGGGGGCAAGAATTGAAGAAAGAGAAAAACAGTGAGTCAGTGACACAATTTAACTGATTAAGTGATTAGCCAACCCATTGAGCGGCCCATGGGCCTTAAAAACAAGTCCCAAATTCAATAGATTGAAAAACTAAGATTGGGCTAGTCTGTGTTGCCTCTCTTAGGCCCTAAATGCTTGGGCCCTTCTCAGCTTCATTTATGAACAAAGCTGTGGAATTCATCATTACTTCGAGGAACAAGAATCGATCAATAAGATACTCTCATGCTCCCTCCGACCTTAAATAATATACGAATACTTCGTATGATTTTTTTAATTTTTTTTTAATGAAGCTCACTTTTTAAGATTTTAGGTTGGAAACTCGGGATGTTTAATACGAAGTATATCATTCTATACTGTAGATAATTGTGCTAAATTTCTCAAACCAATAAAGTTGATAACCAAAATAAGAGCATGAAAAGACATAATATTCATAGAGTAGTTGAATTTATAGCACATTAGTTGAGGAAGTAACATTCAATAGCAGTGCCCTCTATTCCTCTATCACTGCTACTGCTGCTGACTTTGAAAGGCTTGAAGATCCATAGACACAAATGCAATGAAGCAAAATTCAAAATAATAAATCTTTTAAATATATATACGGGATCATGTGAGAACCCTTAGCTTAGGTGAGAACCATTTTAAAGATGAGAACCCATCTTACACCATCCGTTTTCATAAGCTTTCTTTATTTTCCATTTTCTCTCTTCAATGGCTAAATTAAAATGAAACCAGATTTTCTATTTTCTCTCTCTTCAATGGCTGAATCTCTTGGTTTTATAATACATAAATCCGTGTTTCCATGCAAAAAATAAAAAATAAAAAAATAAAAAAATAAAAAAGTATGTTCCAATGACTGAAATGCGTGTTCCCAAGAAAATGCATGGGAATGTGATAATTAATCTCAACCATCCATAATCTCAAAATTGATGGTGTAAAATTGGTTCTCATTTTAAGATGGTTCTCACCTAAGGGGTGGGTTCTCACCTGAACCCACCCCTATATATATATATATATATATATATATATATATATATATATATATATATATATATAAAATTCATGTTAGCCGACTCCAAATTATTTTGGGATATTTTGAGACTAAGGATTTATTGACTATTGTTGTTGCATGTGGTTTGTATTCTCCTGAAAGACTCTAGAACGCTCTATTCATACCGTTGTATGTTGTAATGGTGTGACCTAAATGAAGTTAGTGACACCCATAATAAGTGTAATTAGTTAGTTGTGGTCCAATTTAGGTTAATTTATGTTTAGATTGGAGTTGAAGGGTTGAGGGTTGTATGTCATCTAATTTATACACAATATACAAAATAGATTTGCTTTATACCCGATCACAAAATAGATGGGCAAAATTATTCAAATTTGGCTAAAAATAAAGCCACCCCCATCCCAACAAATCATTCTTAACATAATAAAAGTATGAACAATAACCACAAGTCCACAAATAATATATATATAAATAAATATATAGACTATAGAATTTGAGAAATAATATCCTTGACATATAAACTTAATACAATTCAACAAATATCATGATTATACATTTATACACACTATATTAATATCACCAAAAAAAAATTAAAACATAATTATTTTAAAAAAATGGAGGTAGTTTTTATAAATTTATAAAAATAAAGGATATAAAAAGCAGACAAATTGGGATGAATAATAAGGGGGCCTGATTGAGAAAACACATGATGAGACCCAACATCTAAAGCATCTCAAAGGGGCCCCTTAATTAGCTGCTTTATATTTATAATTAATAATCATAATAATAATGTATAAATATTTATGGTCCACCAGCTCATTTCTCAAGTTGGTAGGCCACTTCAAATTAGCTGCCGAACAACAAAATTTTATTAAGTGTGGAGCGTTCATAAATTGCCAAAAGTTGACCAATTCTCTCTATTAACTATATTCTCTTTCATCACCGACCTAATTATTTTCTTATTTTCAAGTATTCTTCTACTAGCACTCAAGAATAATTTCAATTCATACCATATAATTATATATTAAGATTTTTTAAGCATGACATCAAATGCAAGGATAATACTGCTGCTTACTGTAAGCTTCTGGATTATGTGTGATGATCTACTACCTTGTATCACAAGCATTCCCGTCACTAATAATATTTATTTGTAAATAATACTCCCTCCATTTAAAAAAATAATCATGTATGAAATTTTCTAAAATAACAATGATTTGTGATTGGTTTTACCATAATACTTTATTGTGCTCAGGTGATCCATAGCATGAGACTTGTTACAATTTTACAAATCTAATACAACGGACAATATTACTCCGTATGTGTTAAAACACATTCTTTATTAACTATTAACATAGAAAAATCAGTAATGCTTCCTTCACTTGGTCAAAAAAATAAGATGCTTTCATAAAAAAAAAAATTATTTTTTAGAATAGCCAATTCCATTGCATGCTCAATTTACTGAGATCCTTTTTTGGTATTTCTCCAAATCAAGGGACAAATTTCCCTTTATTTTGGGACCCTTGCTTCTTTTTCTTGCTTTTGGCTCCCTCAATATTCAAACTACTACTACTCTGTAATAATCTTCCTCTACCATTTCATCTTCTTCTTACCTTATTTTCTCTCTCCTTCCTCAACAACAATCCATCTATCTATCTATCATCATTATCATAATCGCGTTTGAGTTCCTACTGTACATATTATATCAAAGGAATTCAACTACATACTAATTATCTATGGCACCACCCAACAGATTTTCATCCATGTTACATAGAAGAACAAACAGAATAACTCGTGTTCTAATCTATGCCTTTCTTGAATGGACTCTAATCTTTCTCCTCCTACTAAACTCTCTCTTTTCCTACTTCATCCTTAAATTCGCGCTATATTTTGGCCTTAAACCTCCCTGTTTCCTATGTTCAAGGATTGATCATTTCTTAGACTCTCACAAGAATGACAAAAACAAGAAGACTAAGTTTTCATCCTACTCAGAAATCATTTGTGAGGAACATGCTGCTGAGATATCAAAGATTGGGTATTGCTCCCATCATCGGAAGCTCGTTGAATTACATGATTTGTGTGAAAGCTGCTCTGCTGCTCCATCAGATGATCCTGAAGTCAGCAAATGGATGACAGAGATTGGTATAGTTAAAGCTGAAGATGATGATGCTACAAAGAAGTGTTCTTGCTGTGAAAGAGTATTGATCATGGTCAATCCAATTAGTAAAGTTTCATCCTCAGATTTTGTGATCAAAGAAAGAGAATTATTGGGTGATTTTTTATCAGATCAAAATGTGCAGATAGGTTCTGATCAGTCAGATGATCAAACCAAGTTTGGGTATCAAATACTGGATGATGGTGATGAAGAAGATAAAGAGGAGAACGAAGAAGTAGTTTTCGAAGCAGAGAAGGAACCTCTCCTTGATAATACTAATGGAAATAAGGGTGAAATTGAGGAGATTGTTGGAGTTACAACTCAAAACTTGTGTCCTGATATGCTTCCACAGCATCTAGATTTTTATATTGATCATGATGATTATCGATTAATCCCAGTTGAGTTTATTAATGATGATTCAATCAAGGTAGAGAGTAAAAGTGCAGAAATCAGCAGAAGTTTCGAGGAAGGAAGGAAAGAAACTTCATCAGGATTTTCCAGGGAATTCGAGCTTGTTTTCGAGGGAGACGAACTTGTTCTTCCTGGGTGTGAGGTTACTACTATTGCTAAGGATTTGCCTAGTATACAGGAAGAAGAGGAACTTGTGATTGAGAAGGTACAAATTCACAAAGAAGAGGAGAAGATGATGAGTTTGGACAAATTTGAGCTGGTTTTTGAGGGTAATGAGCTTGTTACTGCAGGTATTGAGACTGAGATATTACATCTTCCTAAAGATGAAGAACAGATGAAGGGTTCAGAGACTTCAGACAAATTTGAGCAGGTTTTTGAAGGAAATGATCTTCTTGCTGGTTTCGAGTATGGAAATTTACAAAGTCCTGCAGTGGACAAGATGCAGGGTTCAGACAAATTTGAGTTGTTTTTTGAGGAAAATGAACTTGTTGCTGGTTCTGACTATGAGAACTCAAAAATTCCTGAAAGTGAGGAAAAGATGAAAAATCCAGAAATTTCTGCGCTGGCATTTGAAGGAGATGAGATCATAAGTGAAAATTCGCTTACAGATGACAAGGAGAGCGTGACAGAGAAGTTGCAAGTTCGTGAAGAAGAGGAGGAAGAGGATTCACAACTTTTGCAATCCGTTCCAAAGCAGGAAAAGGAGAGAGAAATAGAAATTTCATTTCTTTCAGAAGAAAAAGAGGAGACTGCAACTACTGAGAGTACACCCATTTTGGATGTGCAGGAGAGAAACAATCAAGCTGTACAAGCTGATAGCCAAGTAACAGCTGTGAGTTTAGAGACACCTTCTACTTCTTCAGGTACTGACAGACTTGTTCCAACCTCTATAATCTTTGTTCTTTTAATTTTTGAGTTAATTTGTTATTATACTTCTGAGTCAAACTAAATAATTTAACCCTTATGACCAGATTTTAAGGAGGATAATGCATCTTATTTGATGGCTGATGAAACTGATATTGAGGAAAAGAATCAGAATCCAACTGAGAAGCTATTGTTCCAAGAGTATGAGGCGAATCTTGCATCGCTTTTCAGGAGTTATGAAATCGAAACTGAAACAAAGCAGAATTCAACAGATGAGCTCTTGGTTCAAGTGGATGAACCCCCTACAGCCAGCAAACAAGAAACTCACACACTTACTGACAATGTAGTATGTCATGGTAATATTCAAACACCCCTGATTATTGGTTATTTCATTTTATGTTCTTTTTTTGGGCCTATATCTGATTCTATAATTCTAAATTCAGATGATGAAATTTGTGAAAGAAGTCTAAATGCCAATGTGAGCATGTCACATGATGAAGTTGAGGAAGACAAAGTTCCTGATACACCAACATCTTCTGAAAGCCTACATAGGAAATTGTTGATGCTAGGGAGAAGGGAATCAGCAACGGAGGAATCACTAGATGGGATGAGTGCGATTAGTGAGCATGGGGAAACAATGGAGAAGCTCAAAGTGGACCTACTCACTGAGAGAAAAACTTTGAGAGCGTTATATAAAGAGCTGGAGGAAGAGAGGAATGCCTCAGCAATTGCGGCAAATCAAACAATGGCTATGATAACTAGGCTCCAAGAAGAGAAAGCAACAATGCAGTTGGAAGCCTCGCAGTACCAAAGAATGATGGAAGAGCAGTCAGAGTATGACCAGGAAGCACTGCAGATGATGAATGAACTCGTGGTGAAGAGGGAGAAAGAGAAGCAAGAGCTCGAGAAGGAGCTTGAAGTGTATAGAAAGAAGGTGATGGAATATGAAGAAAAAGAGAGGATGAGGATAATGTGTAGGAGGAGAAGCAGGAATTCTTCTGCTTCTTGCAGTTATGGAGAGGAGAGTGATGGGCAATCGATAGATTTCAATCATGAGGTGAAGGATCAAGAAGAAGATGTTGGAATTAGTCCTCACAATCAAGCAGAAAATGGGCACCAAGATACACCAACCGATGCAGTCCTATGTTTACAAGACTCATTGGCCGGGTTTGAAGAGGAGAGGCAGGCGATTCTAGAGCAGCTTAAGGTTTTAGAGGAGAAGCTCTTTACTCTAGCAGAGGAGGAAGAGGAACATTTCGAGAACATGAAACCATTTGAGCAGTTCTATGAAGAGAATGGCAAAGATTTCGACATTAATAACGGGAGTGACAATAATGAGTTTATTCATGTCAATGGAAAACATCAGCAAGACAGGAGGATCAACGATTCAATGCCAAAGAAGCTTCTTCTTCCACTGTTTGATGCAGCAGAGTCATTAGATTCCCCAAATGGAGTGTTAAATGGAAATGAAGATGACTTTCATATTACAAAATTTGAGTTAGAAAAGAAAAGGTTTGCCGTGGAAGAGGAAGTTGATCATGTCTATGAGAGACTACAAGCTCTAGAAGCTGATAGGGAGTTCCTAAAACACTGCATTGGCTCATTGAGGAAAGGTGACAAAGGCTTGGATCTTCTTCAAGAGATTCTACAACATTTACGCGATTTGAAGAATGTAGAAGTTCAAGCCATGAAGAATACAGATCATTGTGCTTCAGTGTAAATCCTTCCATGACATTATTGGTAAACATAAGATCACATCACCCTTCAGTTCAACATTGTCATACATCTATCTACACCACAACATACTGATACTAGTCAGTGCCCGTACTAAAGCAGATTCCATTGTTCATGGTTAAGTTTCGCTACTAGATCAGTCAAAAAGTTTGATCTAAGGAATCGAAAGATACAGCTAAAGAAGAGGATCAAACTTTTGTCGTCTAGAATTCAGTGAAGGACCCCCCTAGATGGTGAAGGGGAGGTTCAGGCTATGCAAACAAGAAAAAATCAAGGTTTGCTGACCCAATTTTTTTTAAGTTCTTTCATTCTTTTTTATTTCTGCTTTTGTTCTTTGTCCAAAGTAAATGTAAAAAAACCCAAATTTTTGTGGGGTTAGTCTATTTTTTTCTTGCCCATCACCTCCCTTTTGAGGAAAAAGGGAATGATGGATTTTAAGTGTGTGTAGGATAGTGGAAGTACTCAAAGCACAACCTGTCATTTTGTATTTGTTTTGTGAGGAACAAAAAAACAAGGCCTGGAATTTGCAGAAACTGGGAGATCCAACAATGATTCCAGTCTCAAGCACATAACATTAGTTTTTACCACATAAATCTTAGGATTAGGAACTATATATAGCTGTATTTATTCTTCAATTTTGTTTTATATCAAAGATTTTGTGGTATAAACTTTTGCCTTTTTTTGTAATTCTTTTTCTTTTCTAGTTTGTGAGTCAGTTGATCATCACATGGGTTTTGATCAAAGCTTTTGGAGTAAAGTTAGTCTACCTGTATATTAATCTAATGTAATGAATCTGTTCTGTAAAGTATATAAAGTGAGTGTTTGTTTATGCTTATTCCTAATCAAGCTTTAGATTCATATAATTTTCTTGATACTCAACATTATTAAGGACAAAGTACATGTAATTATAGCAATAAGAAGCCAAAATTGCTTTCATTGTTAGCTTTGCTTAAAGCAAACTACTTTGCTAATTTAGTAGGTATGATTAAGGATTCCTTTACCCTATGAAAAAATCCATGTACACATAATTAGCCGTGAAGTACATGATACATGTTACTACACTTATCTTCTCTCTAACATTTTAAGGCTCGACATAAAACCTTCAACAAAAACACACAAAAATGTAAATACTTTTTTAAAGATTGAAGCATGTATAGATAATTGGTGTGACACATATATACTTTATGGATCCCGTGATAATTAAGATTAGGATGGTTTAAAGTATCAATTGTCTACATCTTAAAGCCTATAAATATTTTGACATAAGAGCCTAGAACTTAAAAAGCTTTTGCTTGAAGTTCCATAACAGAGTAGGATACCAAGTAGCACACCTAAGGATAGGTACAAAGAAGATGATGAGCCACAAAAGAAGAAACATATGCATATACTGATAGTGATGGGAGAGAGGATAATTAAAGTAGAAATGGAACACATTGTCAAAGATAGGAGTCAAAAAGTTCCAGCATGTATTACACACACACACACATCAAAGAAATAAAACAGCATGTATCATCAATTGTTGGCTCTGAACCCAGACCACTTATTGACTTTTTAAAGTAGTGCTAATGTTACCAATAGATGCATACAGAAATAATGCACACATCAATAAGGCACACATCATCTATAGTCAGAAAAAAATTGTAGAATGTCAATCCACATAGCCTTAATGCAATACTCCCTCTGTCAGGATTTAGTTGTCACATTATTAGTATAAAATACACTATCAATCGTGGCAACTAATTCAAGACGGAGGGAGTATATGTAGAGTACCGAGGGTCCGAGGTTCATTATGGAATTGACACTTACCAAATCGTTACACTGATGCAAAAATCGTGTTTGCTTTTCACTTTTACTCAGTAATGTTTTTCTCAGTTGTTCTGCTTCATTGAGTCTAAAGTGGACTTAAAATGAAACCATCCAAAAGACAAAGTGTCTGAATATCTGTAAAGAAACATTAAAGGAAAAAAAATTATTTCTAATCATGTATTTCATGCAGAAAAAGATGTGAAGCATGCATGGACTTAGGTAACTTAAGATAAATCAACAATTCAACATAGTGCATTTCTAGGGCTGATCATGGCCAGGCAAAATGACGAACAAATGATCTGGCCATTCTGCCCCTAACATTGTCAAGTCCGAGGAAAATGAGAAGGAATGGCCTAGGACAAAATTACCAAGAAAACTAATCAGGTCAGAAATTGATGGCTCAATTCAAGCCGAGTCAGCTTGGGTGTGAAGCAAAAGGGTTCCAAATATAATCAAGTTTTTTCCAGCAATCTTCTATCACCTTGATAGAATTATAGCTTCAATGATAATTACCAACGAATATAAACTCCTAAACAAATATGCGAAGAACAAGAAACTAAAAACGTACTTAGAAAGCAAATTATGCTTTAGTACAATAATCTTCACAAGTGAGACAAGAAAAAAGGCTAATATGCTTATAAACCACATAATTGAGAGATTATAGGACATCAAATGTGAAAGGCAATAACATTGGGGCCCTTAAGTAGTCATACTGCTTTGGATTCCAAACATTTCAGGTTTTCATTGTCAAACATCCTACTTTAGCAATTAAGTTAAATGCTCCTACAAATTAACACCCACTTATTTCGTTACAATTTCCTAAGAATGCTGTACGATTCACCTCTTTTGTGGAACAGATGATTTTAGCTTCTACTGTTTCAAATAGTTCACTCTCATTCGTACGATCAAGTGCAAACTGATTATTATAATCAGAAGATGCAGAACCATGATACTAATAGTTTACTCAGTAGCCTCTAGCCCTCTACTAGAGATGATAGGTTAATCAAGAGATGTGCATATCGCAACTGCATTTCACTTGTTAATCCGACTTGATACAGGGGGTTTAGGAGTTATCTAATACCTTGAAAATTAACTAGCTAGTAAACTTCCTCTAGCTTCATCAATAAGCCAAAATCAAGCACAATAACTAAAATAATTACTATGTTATCTTGATACTTAAGTATTTAAGTCATAATGTGGGATACAAACATACAATTTGGAACTAAGTGTGAATTTGGTGAAGGGTCAATCATGCTGAGGGCTAATAGGTTGAACCAAGGGACTGGCAAATTTGTTGATCCCAAACACCATAACTCCGCAAGACTACTTCACGACCACCCAAGAGGCCAAGATAGCACAAAAATTATGCACCACATTTTTACCATTCCTCGAGATCAGCTATGAGTTCCTCAATGCAACTACTGTGTAAACAAACATTTAAGCTAATCTCATTTCTTGCTGCTTTCATTATTACCTTCCAAGTTCCAACTATAAACTAAAAACTAATTCCTCAATTAAGTCCTCACTTTAAAAACTATTAATAAATTCAATCCAATGCTTTATGACAACCATCAACAGGATCACACAGAGGGAAATCATGATTCTCAAAGACTACTCCCCAGAATTTTGTACTAAATTGTATTTCCAACAAAAACAAGGAATTATTTAACATAAGCAAACATCATAACATAATAGACATACATGTCAGTTTCCAACCATGTAATATAACTAGTAGTTGTACTTTACCCCCACTAAACAGAAAGATTGATCATCTATAATATACCATAGATCTACATTTTCAGTACTACATAATCATAATTCATACCATATAATGGTATCATTAACCCAGTGACACAAATGATTTCTTGTAATTATAATATAATACTTAACAGGACATTAAAAATCAAGGGATATGTATTATATACAAATCACTTGGTCATTGTGCTAAAATTTACAGCTAAGGGTGTCTAATGAACAAAATTGTGTTACATTTTTCCTAAATATTGAGGTCTTGAGGATAGTCCAAATGTCTAATAAAAACTATAAATCCACAATAGTTAACTAATTTTTATGTCAAACTATTTTACCAATTAGTAAAGGATATCCTGAAATTAATTCTTCATATCATACCATTCATTCAAAGGCAACTTTTAGAACTACATACAAGTAATTGACATAGCAATGAGTAACGATAATCATTGATTTTGGGATAGTCCAAACACTTGAACCACACTATATGATTAGTTATACTTATACCGTTATACGTGCGTCTTGTCGACTCGTTTAACATTCCAACACTACCCAAACCGTACCTAGAAGGAACCTTATTTACAACTACCATATAGTACGGAGTATATACTACGGAGTAGTTTTGAAGCATACCCGTGATTTGTAAGAATATCCCTAAATTACTACGAGTAAATTCATATTGTATACGCTCTCTTTGTCTCTAAAAGTTCTTCCGGAAGTAACTTAGTTGCAACTTGCAAGCACCCATAATCTTTACAAATTAAATAAGGTGACATATCTATTACAGTTCAAATTTCAATCAGGTCAACTCCCAAATTAACCATGAATATCAAATTTCCAAACTTTTTTCTTTTTAATTATTAAGAATGAACAAAAATCAACAAAATTGTAATGGGGTACAAGAAAGTAAGTAACTAGAGCAAGCTAAGCTAGTGATGTTGAGGATGGTAAATCATACCTTGTTATGGCAAATTCTTGGAGAAGAAAGGATATTTGAGGATTTTGGCCTGCTTTTTGAAAATTCGATTGACAGAAACATAGCAAACCCAAGTTAATTGCGGGAAAATGGATTTAATGAAATTGGTCTCGCAACCAGTATAATACAGACTATGTCTATGAATATGGGTTTTATCTAAATCAAGTGTAATGGACCGTGTTTCGGGTCACGGTCCGTCTTTATAGTTTCCACAGTCCAAAGACTCAATCCAGTTATCCAACCCCCAATTAATCATAGATCTATCAAATTTGGTCAATGGTTCGGATTTGGGTTCAGGTTTGAGTTTGGATTGATTATGGATGGGTTGGGTCTGACGGGTCACCTCAAATCCAAGAGCAGTCGGATAAATGTATACATTGGGATGAATCCATTCTCTTTAATGGATGACTCGGGTTACGTTTACACTATATATTATTTTATGTGTTCCTCTCTTAACACTCAAATGAATGAATTGGTTGGGAGGAAATGAAAAGTTTGGAAAGGAAAAATATGACTCTCTATGTTTGGTTCTAAAAATAAAACAGAATTTAATAGGAAAGGAAGGGAAATTGAAGGAAAGCTCCCTTTACAAAACCTTCCTTTTCTTTTCCTCCAAAACCGGAGGGAATCTGAGAGGAAAGAAAGAAATTAAATCTATCAAGCGTAATTTTAGTTTTCTCTTCCCTTTCCTTCTTTTATTAATCAATAACTTAGTACTAAAAGTGAAACCAGTGATGACACATGTCATCCACTGGTTGAAGATTTTTCCTCCAATTAACCTTTCCTAATTTGTTTTTGTTTATCCTTCATAAAAAGTATTTATAGCCTAATATTCACTTTCCACTTTGGCAATTATATTTTTTCCGTACACACTCAAACGAAATATATTTATATGTATGTATTTTACATTAAGCAATTTTGTTATAAAAATGAGCATAACTAAATGGAAAATTTGTAAATTATCACCCAAAAATATATCCATTTTTGAAATAACTACCCGTTTAATTTTTATTTTTATTTTACCACTCTTTAAATTAAATAGTCACTCAGATTACCATCCATTTCAAAATTCCGATGGGTTTTCCGTATGTGGGCCCAGCCTAACCGATATTTCGACCCTTTTGACTGATTCCCCCCCCCCCCCCCCGATTTTCTCTCTCTCTCCATCTTTTCTAAACATTCTTCCTACCTTCTTCAATTTTCAATCCTTCAATTTCAAGCTCACTTCCAAATTTTTCCTCTTCTTACGTCATCTACAATTCCCCACCACCAGCACCACCCACCAATTTCCTCGACAACCACCATAATCAACCTCACCGCTCCTAACATACACCACTAGCCATTGCAATCCACCACCCTCAACACACCCCACCGACCACCGCCTTCAACTTCACTGATATCTTTAACTATAGTTTCCAAATATCAACTATTTATAACTTGTACTTATTGAGTTATTGATAAGGAAAATAGTTAAAGATATCATTAGTCAAAGTTGTGCATTGACAAGTATGCCGATCAAACTGAGACACCTAAACAAAAACAGAGGGAGTAATTTTTTTTGGGTGTTTTACCATGTTTACCCTTTGAGCTAATCCGGATTTGGGGCTCATTTCTAGGTGGTTAAGTTCCAATCCCCTCCTAATTATTGATACATGAAATTGAACATGCAATCCTCTCTATCAAGTGCAGCTCAATCACCACTGCACCAAGTCACCAACCATTTGGAACAAATAAATTAATGTGTAGAGATAGATGTAATAATAATAATAATAATAATAATAATAATAATAATAATAATAATAATAATAATAATAATCACGACGAGGGATCACCGGTCACCCTCGCCGTCACCAGAACCATCTGACTCCGCCTCGGAGATTCCTCATTCTCCGAGGGAAGAAGGATTGTCTAGGGGACTTTCCCCTCGACAAGAGCGTCGAGCTATCGACTCGCCGAGAGTCAGTCAGCCTCGGGTTGAGAGCCCCCAGCCAAGTGGACACTCTCGCTCACACCCGAAATCAACTCCTCCCACCGTACCTTCGACTGAAGAGGTGGCGAGGGCAGTAGCTGTTTGCATGGAGTTCATGAATGCATTGGGTGGACAACTTCCATTCAGTCAAAAGACTCCACCTTCTCCTCCCCCGAAACCAAAAAGCCTAAAGAGAAAAATAGCTCCGGAAGGAGAGGGACGGATTCCATCCTCCAAGGGAGAAGGAAGCCAAAGAGATGAGGATCTGGCCTGAGCTGAACGAGAACAGAGAAGGGACTCCGGTCACTTCGAAAACTTCAAAGTTCGGAATTCCAAAGGCCATGCGAACAGTCATGAAACTACTCGCCGAAGCGTTCATGAACGCCTAGGTGGAAGGGAGGGAGACGTGCATAGTTGCCTCACCTATCCCGAAGGGTCTCGGCCCGAAATGTCACGCGAGGGGACACCCCTCACTTCCACCTCTCTAAGAGGGAGAAGTGAAGTTCCTTCGGCGCGAAAGAAGGGCAAGGTCGTGATGGTTCCCACCAGTTCACCTTTCCAGAGGTGGATTATAGAGGAACATGTTCTGACGGTCAAAATTCCGGCACACATCACTTACGATGGTACTTCGGATCCGAAGGACCACATAGCCTCTTACGAGGGGCATATATACCTTAACCCCAGGTCCGAAGCTACCTGGTGTAAATACTTCCCTACAACCCTAAAAGGTGTGGCCTAGTCGTGGATCACCAAGGGGCTGAAGGAAGGCTCGATAACGGGTTGGAATGACCTCTCCAACAAGTTCAAGAGCAAGTTTTCCACGGCTAACCGCCGAGAGGAAACCACTGTAGAGCTCATGGGCCTGTAGCAAGCGGAAGACGAAAGTCTCCGAGATTACTTGACTCGCTTCAGCAACGAGTCGTCCAGAATCACAAGTCTGGACCAAAGTCTAGCCGTATTCGCACTACGGAATGGCTTGCAAGCTGGAAAATTCCTGGATTTCATGGTCATGCACCCACCGCTGACCTTGGAAGAAGCCCTCGATGCTTCGGATAAATTCATCCGAGCCGAGGAATGGAACAAGGCCAAGCTGCAATCTCAATTAGGGCTTTCAAAGCCAAGAGGGCAGCAAGCCAAAGTTCCAGGGTCGAGGAAAGGGAAGGCAATAGCCTCAGAACCTCCCTTGACCGCTGAGCCGAAGAAGGACAAGGCTCCCTATCTGGGAAGGTTCAAATCTTACACTCCTCTCACCTTACCACGTGCTAAAATCTTTAGCACGACCAAGGACGAGGGAAGATTCAAGAAGCCGAAGCCACCTCCTTCATGGCACCAGAAGAAAGGGAAAGATCATTGGTGCGAGTTTCACGAATCGCGTGGACATTGCACCGAAGACTGCCTTCAGCTGAAGGACCAGATTGAAGAACTGGTCAAAAAAGGGTACTTAAAGAAATATGTCGCGGAACGCCGTGAAGAGAAGAAAGCCGAGAAAGACCCTCGACAAGATCTGGATTACCTCCAAAAGAAAGACAAGTCGAGTGAAGGGGGAAACCCCGACATTCTCACTATTTCGAGAGGAATCTCTCGGAACGCGCTGAAGCGCCATCTGAGGGGCTTGACCCATCAGATAAACCATGCTGACATCCGAGACTCATAATCTTCGGCACCGAACATGACGTTCACAATCGAAGACTGTAGGGGGGTGGTGTACCCCCATGACGACCCTTTGGTAATTATCATGGGGATCGCCAACCACAACGTCTACAGAACCCTTGTGGACGGTGGCAGCGGGGCAAACATTCTTTTTTCAAAAGGCGTTTGACCAGCTGAAGTTAGAGAGCAAACACCTGGCCCCGGTTCCTTACCCAGCGACCTGATTCAATGGCTCTTCATCATATGCCGATGGGAAGATCCTTCTTCCTGTCGCCCTAGGCCACGGCCTAGCCAAGAGGTGCGTCATGGCCGAATTTCTGGTCCTTGACGTTCCATCTGTGTACAACGTGATCATGGGGAGACCCCTCATCCACGATGTACAAGGAGTTGTCTCAACATATCATTAAACAATGATATACATATCCGATGAGGGACACTCCGAAAGAATCTTCGGAAGCCAAAAAGAGGCTCGAAGATGCAACCACCTCAAACCATCTAAGAGTCGCCGCGACGACAAAGATGATGAGGAAGAAAAAGAAAAAGAAAAAGAGCGAGGTGCTAAAAGGCTTAAGGGCTTAAGTGCTTCGGCTCAGGGATCCCCATCCAAAAGAACATCTTTGGGGACCGATAAGGCTAGTTCTTCGGCCGAGCCGAAAGACTCAGAAGAAGATCATCCGAAGTCAGGGAGATCTGTTGATATTGACAGTAGGCCCGAATCCGAAGAGCCTGGTTCCAAATCAATGGAGCTAGATGAACAAACTGAATCAATACCGTTGACTGAAGGAAATACTGAAAAATGTGTTAGCATCGGACTGGGACTTGATCCAAGTTTCCGGGTCGAGCTGATCCAACTCTTTCGGGACAACCGAGACGTGTTCGCCTTCTCGACAGCTGATATGCCCGGGATTGATCCGAACCTCATCTGTCATAAGCTTAACGTCGACCCCACATGTCGGCCTGTTAAGCAAAAGAAGCGGAACTACTCCACCCAAAAGAACCAAGACATCGCAGCCGAAGTCAAAAAACTTCTTGATGCGGGGTTCATCGAACCTTGCCAATATCCGGAATGGCTGTAGAATGTGGTGATGGTTCAAAAGGCTAATGACACCTGGAGAATGTGCGTTGACTTAACGGACCTAAATAGGGTATGTCCGAAGGACTTCTATCCCTTGCCGAGAATCGATCAGCTAGTTGATTCGACAAGTGGCCATGCTCTGCTTAGTTTCATGGACGCATTTTCTGGGTACCATCAGATCTTCATGCACCAAGTATTCGCCGAACAAAAAGGCCGTAACATGGAGGTCTATGTTGACGATTCCATCGTCAAGAGCAAAGAGGCCAAAAATCATGTTGCGGACCTAGCTGAAATGTTCGCCACTCTGAGAAGACACCAAATGAAGCTGAACCCGAAGAAGTGTGTCTTCGGCGTGAAGTCAGGCAAGTTCCTTGGCTTCATGGTCAACAAAAGAGGAATTGACGCCAATCCCGCCAAAGTTCAAGCAGCTCTGGACCTTCCCGAGCCGAAGACAAAGAGGGATGTTCAGCGTCTTACTAGAAGAATGGTTGCCCTGTCCAGGTTCATCTCAAAAGCCTCGGACAAGGGATTACCCTTCTTCAAGGCGCTTAAACTCCCTAAAACAAAAGAGCTCGTCTGGGAAGAAGAGCAAAGGATCGCCTTTCAGCAGCTCCGAGAGCACTTGGCTCATCTCCCAACGCTGGCAAGACCAGCCGAAGGAGAAACCCTGTACTTTTATGTGGTGGTTAGCCCAGCCATAGTCAGTGTAGTGTTGCTGAAAGAAGAAGAAAAGGTCTAGTAGCCGATCTACTTTGTCAGCCACACTTTGACAGACGCCGAAACCCGCTACCCCTTACTCGAAAAGGTTGCATATGCGGTGGTGATAGCGGCTCGGAAGTTACGGCCCTACTTTGACTCACATCAAATAGTGGTCTTGACAGATCAACCGCTGGAAAAAGTCCTCGGCAAGGTGGAAAAATCGGGCAGATTAACAAAGTGGGCTTTCGAGCTCACTGAGTTCAGCATAAGCTACCAGCCGAGGGCAACTATTAAAGCCCAAGCCTTAGCAAATTTCCTAGCCGAATGTTCCTACCAGGAAACACTCGACGAAGGAAAAGGGACTTGGATTGTTTTCACGGATGGCTCAGCCACCGTAAATGGTTCGGGGGCAGGGGTAGTCATTACTTCTCCCGAAGGCAAGAACTTCGAGTATGCACTGAAATTTTCATTCAAGGCCTCCAACAACGAAGCGAAATATGAGGCAGCTATCGCTGGTCTGGAACTGTGCATAGCCCTTGAAGCCGAACATGTCTGTTTAAAGACAGACTCTCAGCTTGTCGCCAATCAGATCCGAGGAGAATATGAGGCTAAGGAGCCCTCCATGATTTCTTATCTCGCCAAGATCAAAATAGTTATTGCGAAGCTGAGAACTTTTGAAATTAAGCTGATCCCAAGGGGTCAAAATGCTCAAGCCGACGCACTCTCCAAACTTGCAAGTTCATCTCTCACCGAGCTGAACCGATCTGTATATATGGAGGTGCGCCGAGACAAAATCATCGACCAAGAATCTGAAGTTCTATGTGTCGAGGCTGAACCAAGCTGGATGGACCCCATCCTCGCTTACAAGCTTCAGGGTGAGCTCCCCGAAGACAGAAACTTGGCCACTAAACTAAAAAGAATCGGCTCAAGGTTCATCGTCTACAACGGGGAACTCTTGAAGAAATCCTTCTCAACCCCATTGCTGAAGTATCTGGGTCCAACAGATGCGGATTATATCCTTCGGGAGATTCACTTTGGCATCTGTGGAAACCACATAGGGGGAAGGACCCTAGCCCACAAAGCATTAAGGGCAGGGTATTATTGGCCAACCATGATCCTAGACGCCAAGGAGCTAGTGAAGAAGTGCGAGAAATGCCAAAAATTTGCACCCAGTCATCCATCGGCCGTCGCAAGACCTTCATCCAATCCTGAATCCTCTTCCCTTTGCTCAATGGGGATTGGATATTTTGGGACCATTCCCCGAAGCTCCCTATCAAAAAAAATGGTTGATAGTCGGCATTGACTATTTCAGCAAATGGATTGAAGCCGAAGCATCTTCAAACATAACCGAGCAGACTGTTAGGAAATTTATCTGGCAGAATATCATCACTCGCTTCGGCATTCTGAAGGTGTTTGTCTTCGATCATGGAAGGCAATTTGACAATCTGCCGCTGCGGTATACGGATCAGTTCGGCATTAAGTTGGCATATTCGGCAGTTTTCCATCCTCAAAGCAATGGCCAAGCCAAAGCCGCAAATAAACAGATCCTCAACGCTCTCAAGAAAAGAGTTGAAGATCAAAAGTCCAAGTGGATAGAGGAACTTCCTGGAACTCTATGGTCACTTCGGACAACTGAAAAAGAGGCAACGGGACATTCACCATTTGAGTTGGTGTATGGATCCGAAACCGTGTTACTAGTGGAAATTGGCTCGGAAAGCCTTTAAGTCAACCAATTTTCAGCTGCAGAAAATGCACAACTCATGAAAGAGTCCCTTGATTTCCTTGACAAAGTAAGAGATTCGACCAGGGACAGGATGGCAGCATACAAACAAAGAATCGGCAAATTCTATAACCAAAGAGTCCAAGCAAGGCTCCTCAAAATTGGGGACCTTGTCCTTCGAAATGCTGCCGCTGTACAAAAAAGCCGCATCCAGGGAAAAATCTCGGCAAACTGGGAGGGACCTTACGAAATATACGATGAGCTCCAACCAGGAACTTATCGGCTTCGGCAGTTAGATGGGACTGAGCTGAAAAGCATTGGAACGCCGATGTACTTAGAAAATTTCATGTGTAAAAGCCCAATGTGGGAGGACAATCTATGTAAGTACATTTTCTTAATTAATGAAAGGCCTTTGAGCCACATTTCATCTCAAATCTATTATGCTTTTATTTTCTTTATCTTCACGGTTTTCCAAAAATTCAAGACTTATACTCGGTGCTGTCCGAAGTATTGCATAGTGATGCACTGTACTTCGGCAAGCCAAAGAGTCTGTCGAAATGGGGGCAACGAATAGAACCTCAAAGTATTGCGTGATGATGCACTGTACTTTGGACGGATTCGTCGCTCTCGGCAAAGAGGCCATAGATGCACCTAAAGACATAGCCGAAAATAGGAATTGATTAGAACCCCGAAACATTGCATTGTGATGCACCGTGTTTCGCAGATCAATTCCGAGTAATGGTTACACCTCCGAAGTATTGCATAATGGTGCCTTGTACTTCGGATGATCATTGCCCTGGCATTATGTCTCAGACAATTGTTCCCTCTAATGAATTTAAACCAGACAAGGAAAAACAGAAAACAAAATTTAGCTAAGTTAAAACCTTCGGCTGCGCCGAAGGAATTAAGGCGACATACTCAAAACTCCGAAGACATTATCTCGAAAATTCTGAGGGGGGCAAGAGGTATTCACCTAGTCAAGCTCCCAGCCGAGGCTCAATACTTGGAGAATTTCAAGCAAAACAAAGCATGAATCCGAGTAAAGTGAGCAAGGCAGAAAGAATGAAGCAGAAACATTCAAGTAATGAAAATTTTCAGCCAAGTTTTCTCCAAGCCGAAGCTTTATACTTAGCCAAATTTAAAGAAATTCAGAAAGGAAACTACTAAGAAATGAAGCTACTCAAAACAGGCAAAGAAAGAAGAAAGATATGAAATACCACACTGTCATTCAAAAGAAAAAATTGAAACTACAGAATATCGAGTTCAAAGTAGCATAAGGAAAGTCAAAGTCGGCAGCAGCCCAGAAAGCGGAAACACAGCTGCCGAAAGTACACAAAAACAATTAAAAAGTTTGTACGAGGGCAAGCTGAAGCCAAGACTAAGGCAAAAAGAGACGCGACGTTCACACGTTAAGAGCAAGTTGATCCGCAGGATTCTGTAGACGACTGCTCGAGTTCCTATGCTTCAACATCTTTAGGAACCTCACTCGGGACAGCCGAAGTTTCAGCACCAGCTGAAGAAGAGGCAGGGTGAGCAGCATTCGGTTCTTGGGCAGCACCTGCTGGGATTGCAGTTGCAGCCTGCCGATCCAGAAAAGCAATCTCACCTGGACTCGCCTCGTCAACATGGCCATCTTCAGGGTCCATAGACCAGGCCTCAGCTACATCCCAGTTAATGTTGGGGTCCACATGGAAGGCATAACGCCGAGCAGTCTTGTAGCCATTCTCAAATCCCTCGGCGTACTGTTCCTCAGTGTACACCCTAACCTTCAACAGCTCTTGGGCCTCCTCAAGCTTGGCCTTGTCCTTTACAAACGCCGTTTTTAGAGCCTTCAGCTCGTCTTTCAACTTCTGCATCTCAGTCTGCAGATCAGAATCCTTTTTCTGAGACTCTTTAGCAGCACGAGCAGTGCGAGCCTCATAATCTTCAGCTAAGAGGCGTCGAGCCTCCACCTCCTTTTTTACCCTTTTCTCGATACGAGCCTTAAAATCTCCAATGTTGTCGGCCCCGTATTCCTGGATCAGAGCACGGCCTTCATCGAGACAAGGAAAGACTGTTTGCTCCAAGTCTCGACAGAAGGAGCGGAAGTTGGAGTTGCAGCGTGATTTTCAGCATCAGCCCTCTTCAGCTCAGAAACTCGAGTAGAGCACTCGGCTTCATCAACTCTCTCGGCCTTAGAACGCAGCTCGTCGTTAATTTCCACAGTGAGGAAATGGTTCTGCACGACCTGCAAACATTTATCCGAAGCTCGTCACTTAGAGAAATTTCAAAAAAAAAAAAAAAAAACACACACACACAAACTTAAACTCATGGAGGTACCTGCATGAGCAGCCTGTAGTTCTCAAGGAAAGGGTTCGGCACCCTATCCGAAGGCTCGACAGCCCCAGCAGCTACGCCAATGATCCAAGCTCGGGGGAGCGCTCCAGCTCAGACATGTTGGCTAAATTGCCAAAGTGCTCAACAGCCGAAGAGCGCCGGGCGTCCAAAAGTTCCCGAGCATGGTCAGGAACTGGTACAAGGGGAGCAGTGCCGAACCCCATCTCAGCAGATTGAAAGGTTCGGAAAGAATTCTCAGCAGAGTTGGAGGGCATGTTGACCTGTTCAACTTCAGCGTCATCCTCCGCCTCGGCCTTTTCGGGAACTTGGTCGACAGCAGGCTGTTCTTCTATCTGGTCAACGAACAAAGTGTCGACCTCTCGCCGAATCTCCTCTAAAAAAGGTTCGGCCTCATGGCTCGGAGCCGAAGGAGGAGTCTTCGGCAGATCTACTTCCTCAATAGCAGGAGCAACCACCTCCTGCTAAACCTCAACAACCTCCTCCTCAATCCGAGGCCTCTTGGCAGGAGGGATCTCGGGCACAAAGAACTGCTCGGGACGAATAAGCCTTCTTCGTCCAGCCATCTCCTCGTCTGACTTATCAGCGACAGGAGTATCTGCAGCAGTAGCTATTTCCTCTTTCTCCTCTTCCTCGTCACCCTGCGGCAGAGAAGAAAAGGGGGGGCAAAAGTAGTGTCAACAAATAATTAAGCAGCAGACAAGACAAGCATATACACTCTAGCCGTAGCTCCATACTTCGAAAATTTTTGCAAGTCGAAAAACCTAAGTACCAAGGTTCAATGTTTATCCGAATCTCAATTAGCTAAACAGGCAAAGTACAACATACATCCGAAGTTTTATACTTAGAAAAAATTCACAAGTTGAAAAACCTAAGTGCAAAGTCTACTCACAGGAAAAATAGAGTACATGCAACAGATAGTCGAAGTTTTACACCTAGCAAGTTCTATGCTTAGCAAAATTTGGCGAGATAGGAAAACACATGCAACATGCAGCTAAAAAGATAACGCTAAATCAAAAACGCATAGAAAGGGAGAAGCGAAGGCTTACTAGAGGCCCAAGCAGCTCTTCAGAGTTAGTATCCCCCTCGTCTACCTCTTCACCAAGCTCGGCTGCAGCAGTTGAAGGACCAGCACTACCTTCAGCTCTAGCAGCAGCAGCAGCTACCTCTTCGGTAGAATGAAGGAAGAAGGGATCAAGCTTCTTATGCCGAGGCTTCCGCGCCAAATAGTCAAAAGCGCTGATCATCTCGAGTTTTCTCGGCTGCAGCGCAAGAGGACGGTCCTTCACAGCAGTGATAGCAGGGGTGTTAGTGATTGGTTCCCTCGTCCTGTTGATTCCAAGTACTCGGTAATTGATACCCGAGTTTTCCTCGCAGATCTCTGAAAGCATTAGAAAGACAAATTATTAGTTTGGCTAAAAATTTGGCTAAGTCGAAAACTAAAATGCAACAAAATAAAAGCTTTGGCCCCAACCGAATCACTTACCACCTTGGTATCGTCGGCTGAGGCCGACAACAGCTAACATCTTCTCTTGGAAGATGTAGTGACAGCAAGGCAGCCAAACAGTTGGCATAGTGGCCATTCGGTCAGTGGCGCCTAAAATAACTGTTCGGCCAAAAAGTTCCATCTGTTGGCGGTCAGCCTCGGTGAAGTCATCGGGGACGATGCTAGACATCGAAGGATTAGGCTTCCTCGTATAGCGGGGGCCCCCGAAAAAATTAGGGTGGCCTTAGTCTGAAGGAGCACGCACCCAGATCCATTAACCTCGTCAGTCCTTATCCGAGGTATCGTTCGGATAGGTTGAAAGATACCCCTTCTCGTTTTCGATCTGCCACCAGCCAGTACCGTGCCACTTATTCGATTGAGTGTTCGCCGTTAGCCGATGGGTGCATCGGAAGCAGTATATGCTCGGCTCCAACCCATAAAAAGGCAGACCCATAAGTAGGTCATGACCCTTCGGATGCTCACGGGGGTCAGCTGAGCTAGAGAAATGTTGTACCCATTTAAAACTTTGACAATGAATGGGTGAAGGGGGAATCTCAGCCCATATTGTAGCTGGCGAGTATAAACCCCTATGTAACCAGGAGGGGCTTGGTAGATCTTATCTGTAGCAATGGGCATTCGGCACCAATACCCATCTGCCTCCATTAAGCCGTAATAGACCTCAAGATGTTCGGCAAATCGATATCGAGCTTCGTTCTCCAGCCACCAAGAGTACGGTGCTGTCCTTATCAAGCCCAAATTCTCGGACTCCTCAGTCCACTCCCGTTCCTCGGGAGTCAAAGGCCTAGGCCCCGAGATTACTCTTCGGCCCGAAGTGTTGGGTTCGTCCATTTCGGCCGAAGGAACGCTACTCAACGGAACCGCCCTCAACGCAGCGCCGTCAAAAGCGTCGTCTAACTCTATTCGAGCGTTGGGGTTTCGGCCGCTCAAAAACGGCATCATCGCCAGAGGGCACTTTCGCCTCAAAACCAACTGAGGTGCCTCTTCTTCTTCGGCACCAGAATCCGGTTCAACCGGCCTTTTCTCCGGGTTACCGGACATTGCAAACCGGCGGCGAATCGAAAAAGCGAGAAAAAAAAGGGAAAAGCTCAGGAAAAAGGGAAAACCGAACGAAAGTCGAAGAAAATTACCTTAATCAGACTCGGAATTCGCCGATCTATTGATTCGAAAAAAACTGATTTCGCGGAAAGGCTTCGGAAAATACGGATTTTGCGAAGGAAAGAAATAGGATTTTGCGCGTGTTCTGGGAAAACTAAGAGTTTGATTGAGTGCGAATTTGGTGAAGTGATTTGTTCAAGTGAGCTCAGGAAACAGTGTTTATTGGAGTTAAATATCCACTAAACTTCCCACTCACACCACTTCAATTCATGGCTGTTCAAATTCATCCCATTAATTGCAACCGCCAAAAATTTAATTACCCATTAAACTCTCTCCACTTCCCCATTACCTTTAATTTACCGTCATTAAGGTTAATTAATTCACTAATCACAATTAACGGTCGCTAAACCGTACAACTTCCTCAAACAAAAATTTAAATTATTTTCATTTACTTCCCTCCAAATTTCACAGCATCCGAAAACCCGACCCGTTATCCTCACGAGTCGGGTCTGGGGGGCAAGTTGTTTGGGGTCCAAATAACTTATATTTAGGCCCAGTCCATAAATGAAAATAAACAAAGCCCAATGGCAAGGTTCAACTCTCCATAAATGAAAATAAACAAAGCCCAATGGCAAGTTTTGCCATTATAAACTTTTACTGTAGCTGAAAATTAATGGACTCCTGGCCACATGACCACCATGCACCTAGGCATATCAACTATTCCGTAATTTACGTATTGACAAACGTCTATCCGTGTTTACTGCTTATTTTGTTGTTGTACAAAAATATTTTACCTTCATTTCATATTATTTGCAACGACAATATACGATTACTATGCACCTAGACATACCAATTAATATAAAACGGATATAGTATTTATTTTTAATTCTTGTATCAACACAATAATGGAAACAGATTTTTCTAGTAAGATTCCCAAACTTGTAGAAAGTAATCTTTCTCCTCTTGATTAAGTCCCCTAAAAATTAGTTTGCCACTAATTTTTACAACTTATTTAGTACTCCGTACTTTCCATAAGAGGTGAAGGAGTAGGTAAAGAAATCCGGAATATTCTACTCCCAATCACATTTATGTAGCGGAGGTCAAACTTAACCTCAAGTATGTTTGGTTAATGTTATGTATTACTCTCTTTATCCCTTAATTTTTGCCCTAATTTTTTTTACGATGTCTCTTTAATTTTGCCCCATTTTATTTTTGGGCATATGAGTTCACATTTTTACTCACACAATCACCCCATTAACCCCACCACTTATCTCTCTCATTACTTTTTTCCAACCAAAACTTAATAAAGTAACATTACACTATGGGGCAAAATATAAGATACGGAGGGAGTACATAATAATGCCTACTATATACGTAGTTGTAGTACGTATTAACAAAAGATATTATCGACTAATTACTAAGTGGTGGGAATTGAATAAATACTGATCAAATATTTCTAAAAAATAAAATAAATAAAAGACGGAAAAATATATATATAGGAAATTTCGAGACTATGCAAAAGGATTATTCAAGAAATATTACAAGATCAAGATTCAATTACTCACTTATTACGTTACATCCTGCAGTGAATTTAAAAAGAGGGATCTGAAATAAGCACATCATTAACTAAAGTATCCAGATCAAATACAACAATTAAATAGAAGCCTTACTAGATGGTATATCATATTTGATACGAGCGATTTCAAATGAGCACGTCATTAATTAAATTGTCTAAAGTAACACACGAGGATCCATGCGGACTCATGGTTGCTTCAATGGCCAAATTCTTCCACTTGATGGCATTCTTGATCAAATGAATTTTCATTTCTCCTTCCATGAACTCTCTTACCATCTTGGTAACATCATCTCTTTTCTTAGCTTCACTTATATTTATACCAATGCCTAGACAATTACAACAATAAAAACAAGTGGTAAATTGCTCTAGAAAAATAGGGTAACAAACCATTGGAACTCCATTGCTAATACTCTCACTTACCGAGTTCCACCCACGTTGTGTCACGAAACCTCCAATAGAAGGATGAGCCAACACCTTCTTTTGGTCACACCAAGTCGCGAATATACCCCTATGTTTCACCTCATCTTCGTAACCAAGCGGAAGAGTGTTAGACCTACCACTAACTTGGTCGGGTCTAACGATCCAAAAGAACTTTGCTTGGCTATTAGCAAGCCCCCATGCTAGTTCATCAAATTGCTCCTCGGTCAATTGAACAACTGTCCCAAAGCTTATGTATAAAACCGAGTTTGGTTCTTGAGAGTCAAGCCATTGCATGTAGTCACAATTGTCTTCTTCTGTATTCGGACGATGGATGTGATCATTTTCATCAACATCTTTTATTATTTTGTCAAGTAACAAATCGAATGGCCCAACTGCGTAGATGTTCGGCGAAAAAGATGAAAGATCTTCTAGGACATCTTTCTCCAAAGCATCAAATGTGTTGAGGATGATTGCTTTTGATTCTAGAGCTTTTTTTAAATATGAGCTCACATAATTCAAACATCTATCATTTGGATTTGTAGCTCTGAAAGTGGTTGGCAAGTTCTTTAAGCGTATTCCCTTCAAACTTGGTATCCAATCAATAGTCGTCTCAAGATAACCATTTGTAAGACAGCTTGAGTCTGCGCAAACACGCATAATGCATATTAGATTATTGTTACTATTAGGGGTGTAAATAAACCAAGCCGATCTTGAACAGATTTTTGAGCTTGCTTGAAAGCTCGTGATCGTGCTCGGACTCACCTAATTAAGTTAAATGAATTTGAACGTGAACAAGGTATTACTTGGATCGGCTCATTTACACCCCTAGTTACAATAATAGAGATATTATCAATCAAAGTTAATTTTTGGATAATTTGTAAATTACCACCCAAAAAATAGACCAATTTTGATATAACCACCCAAAAAATATTTTATTTTAAATTACCACCCATTAAATTAAAAAAAACGCGCAAATTACCACCCATTTAGAATTTCCGGTGGAATTTCCGTCAGTGGGCCCCACTTTTTTTTTTTTTTTCTTTTCCTTTTTTTCTTCTATTTTCTGGCTTTCTCACACTCTCTCCCCGATTTTTTCACTCTTCTTCTTCCTACCTTCTTTCTTTCTTCTTCCCAACCACCACCACCACCATTGCTCCACCTTTCACACCACCTCTGGCAACCGTTAACCACAGCACCACCACTGAAAACCGCTTAACCCCTTCGCTATTAACATCAGTTCCTCCATCCAACAAATCCTCGAGTCCTTTTAAATCTCCAGTACAGGCCATAAACAACAACTGCATCGTTGCGTCCAGATTATCCGGCACCGTCAATGGTTCCTCCTTCACCGCAGCGACGATTGCTGCCTTAAATTAAACCTCATTGTGTTTCTGAGGGTCCATTGATGACTGCCTCTTGAAGCTGATCCTCCCTGATTTCCTCAACGATCCTGTTGAGAATTGTCTCGATATTCCGTGCCTCAATTGAGCCGCCATCTCCATTTTTTCCGATTTTATATTTCTTTTTCTCCGATTTTGAAACCTTAATTTTCGCTGATTATCCCTCAATTGAATTGGGGGTTTTCTTAAATTGTGTCAAGAACCCTACTTTCAGAAAACCCCCAATTAATTTGTGTCAGGAACCCTAAATTTAAAAAAAAACCCAATTAATTTGTCTGAGGAACCCTAATTCCAGAAAAACCCCAAAATTATTTGCCAAGATACAAAAGAACCCTAATCCCAGAAAACCCCCAAAATTATTTGCCAAGATAAAAAAAAGAATTGAGCTTACCTAAATGGGACTTAAGTGACTGCACTTGGTTGGGTTAAATTCTTCAAATTAAAGCTTGCAAAAATTGGGAAAATTTGAGGTAAGCGATTTCAATATTGTGGAGTGTGAGAAGTTGTTCAATACAATAAAATCGAGGGAAAAATGAAAATATGGGTCAAATTAGCCGGTTAATAGCCATTATGTGGGCCCCAAGGCCGGAAAAGTGACCGGAAAGAAAGAAAAGGTGGTAATTAGAGTGCTTATTTAATTTAATGGGTGGTAATTTAAAATAAAATATTTTTTGGGTGGTTATATCAAAATTGGTCTATTTTTTGGGTGGTTATTTACAAATTATCCTTAATTTTTGTATCAATTAGATGTGAAAGCAACAATTATTAAGAATGATTGAACGAAGGTAGAACATAATACATACTTTAATTATGAATATTGATTTCTTCAACTTGATCTATCCTACAAGCTACGACAATAGCCCCAAAATTCTTACCAAAATCAAGTTTTTTTTTTTTTTTTTTTCATTTATGCATGTCAAGTTTTCTTCCTGAATGAATATCATCATATGACTATTTTCTTTGTTCAAAATTACGAAGTAATTTTTTTTTTTTTGAAAGATTATTGTTCAAAATTACTTGATTATGAACAAATTATAGTAGATTAAACAAACAATACGTACGTTAAGCTAAATTATTAAGGGTTTGGTTTAAAAAATTTCAAACAAATTAAAGAAAGAACAAAGAAGTTAGTCTACTATACCTTTAAGGGGTATAATCTCTTTGTCAAGAAGTTGACGGTCTTGCAAGTAACCCAAGATTCCACAAGCACTAATGACGTCCAACCCCACGGCAGGAATCCCCATTTCTTCAGCCACATCGAGGGTGATCTTGGACACCGCGACATCGTAAACCATGCAAGACACCGTCGGTGGCAATGGTGGATCATCGTCACAAGACAAGCTCTTAGAGTAGTTGTCCTTACTACCTAGTTTTACAAGGACTTCCTTAAGGAGAGGTGCCAAAGTCTCATCGATAACAGAATTAACACCGGATGTCAAATCATTTGAATCGTTGAGAATGGACTCGAATTTGAAGGTAATTTTAGAATTACCCTTAGAAGAAAATGTATCATTTTGGGAGGTAGATTGAAAAAGGGTTTGATGAAAGTAGTGAGTGTTTAGGAAGGTAATATGGAATCCATATTTGAAATGGAGGATTTGAGCAAATTTTAGCATGGGAAATATATGGCTTTTTGATGGGAATGGGATGCAAACTGCATGTTTCATCATGTTAATTAATCAGCAACCTTATTTGTTTCTAATATGGCTAGGTTATACTCTTCTCAGTGATCTTTGCTTGCTATTTAAAGATAGTTTTCGTGCTATAGTAATTTAATGCTTGTCTGTATGGTCGAAGTCAATTTTGTAGTTTTGACGTTTTGCACTACCTTTCCTATTCGTTTTTAGGGGTGAGCAAAAAATAAGGATACCCACCCTTGGACCTACACCCATGTCCTTGTTTAGTATTGTAGTGAACTCAAGTGAGCCATGCATGCTGTTTAGGTCAAAATCCGACTGTCAAATAAGACCAGGCTCAATTGGACAACATCTAGATTAATTAATATGCAAATGATGATGCAGGTTTAAAGAATGAGAACAAATGACCTACAAGAAATGAACAAAGGGGAAAGGGAGGAAGAGAGGCAAGATGATGACGCAGAAAACCCCAAGAATAAGGATAAAAATTGCGGGTGGCTATGAGTCCACCAATCCACTAGGTTGATTATTCAATACAAGTACAATGTAGGTTAAGAATAGATTTACAACGTTGCTAATAATTGCTAATTGGTATAAAATGTAAGGCTTAGAGATTATGTGATGTCTATGTTGCCATATTTATAATAGAAAATCTTCCTAAAGCACTTCAACGGCTCCTTCCCTGATTCCGTGGAATCCGAGGTTAATTGCCAAGCTCTGCTCCGAGTTTTATGCCACATTCTCCATGCACTATCCGTTGCATGCAGTTTCACTTATTCTTCGTAAGTAGTTAGCTATAACTTACTGGCTCCGATTCTCATGGCACTCCTCTTGACTCATTCAACATGGATCTTCTTGGAATATTCCTTGGAAAGACTTTCATTTGACTTCTTTTGATTACTTGAAACCATGTCATTGACTTCATGGCAACCTGTAATCTGCAACCTAGCAACCTGCAGACATATGAACCTGTAGCAATAATTTAGGCACAACACATGCCATGAGCTACCTCATTCGCCTCATTAAAAACATGATTAAAATTAATTAATAAGCAACTAACTAAATTTATCCCTTATAATTACTTCCTCTATTCTTTTTTACTTAACCTGTTTCTTTTATTACGTTTGCCAATGTAAAACTTTAACGATCAATAATTTTAATTCTCCATAAGTGAAAATTATAAAAGTTAGACGAATTCAAAAAGATCTCACATGCAATACGTTTTTTCTTACATATTATTAAAAAAAAAACGGTCAAATGAGAAATGGTTAATAGTGTAAAAGTCAAAGCGCATCAAGTAAAAAAGAACGGAGGAAGTACTTTAACAAGCAACTAACTACATTTATACCTCATAATTAACCCAGTACGAGAGCTTTCGTTGGTTTTTTCTCTACTTGATGACCTTTAACCAATCACTTTCATCCTTCATAACCTTTGTTGCATTGGACAACCAACATCAATAATTGATCAGTGGAAACACGTTGATTTTAAAGTCTAATAATATTCACCTCTCATTTCTTATCATCAAGCTAGGGTTTTTGGCAAGATGCTCTTAACAATACAGGTTCTAAATCATGCATGCGTGACCCTTATTGATTATTGTTGTCGAGCTCTTTATTTTTAATTTAATTAGAGTGTACCCGTGCAAAATGCACGAAATATATATTTTACAGAAAGATATTAAAAAAAATTTAATAGAAAAAATTGTATTTCAAATATGGGAACAATACTAGAAATGAGCCATTTTTCGATGGACAAAATCCATCGGTAAAAGTATAATTTAATTAGAGTGTACCCGTGCAAAATGCACAAAATATATATTTTACAGAAAGATATTAAAAAAAATTTAATAGAGTGTACAAATATGGGAACACTACTAGAAATGAGCCATTTTACAGAAAGATATTAAAAAAAATTTAATAGAGTGTACAAATATATTTTACAGAAAGATATTAAAAAAAATTTAATAGAGTGTACAAATATGGGAACACTACTAGAAAAAATTGTATTTCAAATATGGGAACACTACTAGAAATGAGCCATTTTCCGATGGACAAAATCCATCGGTAAAAGTATAAAAAATGATCGGTATCTCGTTTACCGATGGCTGCACGCCATCGGTATTTTGGCCATCGAATAATAATACGTCAGCAAAATCGAAAATACCGATGGCTTTTCCATTGGTAAACTTAAATCCGATGGTTTTACTGATGGCTACAAACTATCGCTACCTTTTAAAATACCGATGGTTTTTCCGATTACCGATAATTTTTTTAAACAAAATAAAAAAATTAAAACCCTTACCCACCCCCTCCCCTACGGTACCCACCCATACACCCCATACTAACCCATAACTGCCACCCAGTCACCTACCTCCACCGTAAACCACCCACCTCCACCCCGTAAACCACCTACCACCACCAGCCACCACCAAAAATCATAAACCACCTACGACCACCAGCAATCGTGAAACACCCATCACCACCAACCAACAAAAACAACAACAAAAAAAACAAAAAAAAAATCAGTAATTCGAAAAAAAAAACCCACAAAAATCACACAAAAAAACCCACAAAAAAACCAACCAAAAAACAACAAAATCAACCAATAAAAATTAAACAAAAAAATAACGAAATCAACACAAAGAAACTCAAATTAATCAATGAAATTAACTCACAATAATAACAAAAAAAAAAATCAACATATCTTTTGGTTTTTCATCTTTTTTAGGTTTAAATGGTCAAACTTGAACATGAAATTTTCAGATTTGGAATTTTCATGGTCGAGTATGACAAAAAAACCATAAACTTCGAATAAAAAGTAAATGTTCGTGATGGTGATGGTAGTAACCACAAAACTTCAAGAAAAAAATGCTAGGTTGTGATGGTGGTGGTGGTTTTGATGAGGGAAAAGAGGATAGAGGAGAAGGAGAACGAGAAAGGAGATGAGAGAGAAGGAGAGGGGAGAGGAGAAAAGTGAGGGGAGAGAAGAAAGAGAGGCGTGAGAGGAGATGAGAGGAGATGTTAGCAAATAATTATGGGGATGAAGAATTAAGTACGTGTTTACACTGTCCTTAAAGCAATTTTAATCCCCACTATGATTGCTACGGGTTACCGGTCAATATGCTTTCAGGATTTTGCCTAAGTTCGAGATCAATTAAAGCAATGTAATTGAACTCCCTTAGAACATTTTAAGTACAATTAGAATAGAAAAGGAAGAAGAAGATAAAAGTAAAAAAAAAAAAAAAAGTAAGTTATAATTTGGAGCCATTAAAATATATAATGAACAACCTTTTTAATCCAAGAGTCACTATTTCCAAAAAATAATTAATTAAGATAATCTGAATTTTAATGAATAGTCACTATTATCCTAATCAATTTAACCGTAGGAAAGTAACCGCTTACACTCGCCCGATCGGGCCAAGCCCGCGCGGTCGGGCAAATAAATGGACAAATCTTTTAACTAGGCTCGCGCCTGATTGGGCCATCTATACATCAGAAAATAAGTTTTCTCTCGCGCTTGACCGGGATAACTTAGCCCTATCGAGCGAGCAAATATTATTTTTCTAAGTATATGTTCGCGCCCGACCGGGCAAAGCCCACCCAATTAGGCCCGTGGTTATAAACCATGGCACACGTTAAAATTTTTGTTATGCTCCAAATGTTAAACTTATAGACTAGCTCCAAGCTAAACATTTCTATTTAACCAATGTGGGAGCTTCTTCCCAACATCAAGTTAAATAGAATAGAGTAACTTATAGACTAGCTTTAAGCTAAACTTTTCTATTTAACCAATGTGGAAGTTTCTTCCCAACATCAAGTTAAATAGAATAGAGTAAGCTAATATCCTCTATTCAACCATTGTGGAACTTTTTTTTCCCAACAACAAGTTAAATAGAATTGAACAAGCTAACTTCTTCTATTCTACCAATGTGGGACTTCCGTCCAACATTTAGCTATATAGACTAACCTATATAACCAACTTCTATTCTACCAATGAGGGACTAATTTCCCATCATTCACAAAACCTATTATGAAGACTAGTTTAACAGGAGAGAGGAGAGAGAAGGAGAAAGAGTAAAAAAAAAGGCGGAGGAAGATAGAGGAATTAGGGGAGCTACTAGGGTTTGGGTAAATAAAACCGCTTACTTTATTTATTTTTATTTTTTTAAAAAAAATACCGATGGATATTAGCCATCAGAAAAATACCGATGGTCCAAAGCCATCGGTATTTATTTTTTACCGATGGCTTTTAACCATCGGTAAAAAAAATTAATTTTCTTTTAAAAATTCCGATGGACAAAAGCTATCGGAAAATTTTTACCAATGGCCAAGCCATTGGTATTACTCAAAATACCGATGGTAAATTTCATTTTTACAGATGGATTTTTTGGCTATCGGTGTTTCCCATCGGTAAATGAGCTTATTCTAGTAGTGGAAGTTGATTTTGATATAATAACTAACTCTTATATATGGCTGGTCACACTGTGTGGCTATCTATTATGGGAGTTACTTTGTCAATGTTATAGGGGTTACCTGTTTAATGTTATAGAGGTTGTCGTGTTAGTGCTATAAGGGGTTACTCCGTTAGTGCTATAAGTGCTACTTTGTTCTTTTGCAAGCAACCACACTAGTGGCTTGTCGCACAAAAAATGTGTTGTATATTTTTTTGTGTTGATGATCATTAAATTAATAATAAAGGTAGTTATTGAATGATTTTTAAAAGTATTTGATAGTGTTATAAGCGTTACTTTGTTCTTTTGCAAATAGCCATACGGTGTGGCTAATCGCATTAAAAACATATTATGATGTATATATTTTTTTGTTTTGATGATTTTAAAAAGTATTTAAAAAAAATAGATAAATAAAAAAAATTGGAAGATTTTCTTTAAAGGAAAATAGTGGAACTTATGAAAAAATAATTTATAGATTGAGTTCTCAGGTATTGTGCTGAAAAGTTTGAGAAAAATGTGCAATTATAATATAGATTCCTTTTAGCATTGAGGTTTCTAATATAACTAAATTTTTTTTTTTTTGTAATATTAAGTAAAATGGATAGTATGTGTGTTGCGTTATTAGAAAAATAATAAAATAGTAGAAGTGAAAGTTAATCGGAGGTTTATTTAAAAAAAAAAAAAAATTGAGAGGTGGAAGTTATTTGGAGGATAGTGCCAAAAACAAACTAAAAAAAAAAGAGTACATGAGAAATTGAGAATTGAGAGTTGGGATTTTAGAGTGCTGTGATGAAATGTTGGGGAAAAAAAAATGCTTAAATTATATGAGATACCGATGTCAACTTTTAATTGCCTTAACAAACACTTTAGTTTGCATGACAAATTTTGTCATTAGCCAGAGTACTTCCTGGCTCGAAGCATGACTCGAACGCGATCATCGAGGGTGGTTCTGAGAATGTGCAGATGATCGATTGCACAAGACCCCTAAGTGAAACTATTATAAACGGGTCTAATTTTGAAATTGACTTATACAAAATACAGAGAAAACTTGCTAATTAATAATCTAATCTTTAATTTAATCATAAAATTAATAATTTAGTAAAATATTTTTGTTAATAAAAATCATACATAGTTTTTATATCCTTGAAAAATGATTTTAGGGCCCATTTAACAAAATTGCACATAGCCATTTTCAATGTTAGCATTTGTAGCAAGTAACACCGCCTCCGGTGATCATCTTAGGGAGGATTTGTTTTAGTTTTAACATATTCAAAAAATAACAAATTGTTACAAATTGGTCTACATTGGTTCACAATCCTGAAATTTACTTTACTACCTTAGGGAAGACTTAAATGCTTAGTTATGTATGTTTAGATCGATATCTAGAAAAATTCAATTTGTTTGGTTTATTTGTATCCAAACCCCTTCAATCTGTTGCAAACTTGAAAATCTGACTTATCAAAGTATTTCAGTTGCTATACAAATACTAATTCGTCAAGATTATACGGTGTATTAGATTTCTGTTTTACATGAATAATGGATACCCCTATGGCCCTAAGAAATACTGCCGACCAATTTTCAATCTCAATCCTATTTCTAGCTTTCAAACTCCCATTCCCACATGTCACCCCATTAATCTCATACCATTTGACCCATTAGGTTACATTGTCCAATAATTGTATTAGTTATATTGAAACTTCTATGTTAGTTTTGCTTTTCAGGATGGAAATGGCTTTATGCTCTCTCTTACTACGAGAGGGATAAGGGCCATAAGGCCAGGTTTGAGCAGTAAAAGTTGCATGGCATGGCCGCATGAGCCTGCCTTTATGGGTAAGCTAAGTTGGGTTAAGGGGCCGGTGTCAAGGGAGGAGTTACCCAAATTGAGGGAATAAAATACATGAGTACCCTAACGTATGCTTAACTCATCGATTTTAGGTAGGTGTGAATTAACTCTTCGATTCTTTTTGTTATTTCCATTTAAAATTTTAGTATTATTTATAAGATGAGAAGATTGGCTAAATTACCCTCAATATATAAAACATAATATAGTCTTATTGGGTCTTTTTTTTTTATTTGTTTTAATAAATAGACATTACTAATTAATTGTTACCGAGTATACTTTTTTTAGTAATATGAAACTAAGTATAATTATGGTCAAATTAATATATTGTCAAATGTACAAAGACAAAATAGAAAGACCATTTATAATTGGAGGGAGTAACTAGTCACACCAATCAAGTACACTAGGCATGCCACATCCATCCTCCGAATTTTGAATAATAAATTGTAACGGGAAGTAAACTTGCTATTAAACACACTATGTACAAGTAAAGTTTCTATCTCAGTTAACTGTTTTTCCCTAAAACCACTAACTGAGATAGCGATTTTTTCCTTAAACTATTAATCGATTAAGTGATTTCACATAGAGATGGAAATGGGTTGGGCCGACGTAAAAATGGCCAAAACGACATGGAAGTCTCGCTAGTGGGTCGTGCTTGGCTTCATTTCAAATTCGGCACGAACCCAACATGAGTACGACAGGTCGTGCCGTGTTGTTGCTCACTTATGTTTTACTAGTACTAATTTACCAAAAAATATATAAATTATTAAGCGTCTCGCTGGCATGACCCAAACGACAGGTGAGTTAAGTTATGTATAGGCTCCATTTTTTAAAGATTAATATAATTCTAACACGGCACGATCATTAACTATTACATGAGATACACTAGCACGACATAGCCTATCTGACACGACCCGTGCTCATCTTTAGTTTCACCCCTAATATTACAATATCCCCTTTAGTTTGCATATTCGATTTATCTAGTTGACAAAATAGCGCTTTTACTAAAAAGAAAAACAAAGAAAATAAATTGAGAAGAAAATTCTCCGAGAAAATACAAGTTTATCTTTCTAATAAATAAAAACTATTTATTTAGTCGCATTTTTGTAAATAAATTAATTTTTATTATATATAGGATCAGTAATATTGATTTATTTATTTGAGAGTGAGTGATAGCTTAAGTGGTTATAACTACCCTCCCGATTTCAAAGATCTCGGAATCGATTTTTATCACTTGTACTCGTGGCTCTTACAAAAAAAAATATATATATTGTCCTCAAATTTCCTCCATTGCAAATTGGAGAGGGAAGGTGACAATTGCAGAGTACAGTAATGGAGGGAAGGCGATTCAGACGGCAAGCAAGAATTCGAGCTCACACCCTTTTACCCCTGCGCTCTACTCGTCTTTCTAACACCATTTCTTGCTGGTATCTTCTTCCTCTTTTTTCCTTCTGTCTTTATATTCTTTCCAATCAATTTCTGCAATTTTGACTTCTGGGTATGATTCCAATTTTCCAGGTATTGCGACCTTAAGATTTCTCGCTTCAATGAACCCATTTACCAATTTGGGCAGAAATACGCCAGGTCAATTTTATGCCTAACCTTTTATATTTGATCTTAACTATTTAACTTGATTATAGCTTGCATAATATTGTCTTACTCCTTAATTAATAGTGGATATCTAATTCTATAACTCTATATATGTACTCTATATGACTGAATAATTTCCGGGTTCCCGGCCCGAGCATGATTGCAACAAACATATTACTCATTGATTATCAAATTGTTCAAGAGTGTGTTGCTCGTGGTGATTTATTGTGAAACTTTATTAAGGTTTTTGTTTACTGATGTACTTACCTTTTGTGGAGGAACCTTTGCTGGATTTTAATTAGTTTATGAGGCGAAAAGTATGAGATGAGCTAATTTGATGACTTTTGCATTGATGTCTAGGTGTAGTCGTGTAGATAAATTTGTAGCCAGAATTTTGTCCTCTTTATAAAAGTTGTGTCATACATTTGTTATCTCCATTACTTAATTTCTAGTGTTTACCTAAAAGAAGTTGCGGTCCAAGTGGTGACAAAATCACCGTTAAGCTTAGATTTGACTTCAGTTATAGATCTTATATTGTATGTGTGACTATCATGCTTGGGCTGAGGAGGTACTTGAGCTATCCCAAAATGATATTAGGGATTTTAGTAAGAGTTATAGTTATATTTTGTGTTCCCCATCATGCTGATTTGCATATTATTTGAATGAAAAATTGTTACATCTTCTTGAATGGTGGTGATTATGTTGTGATTCATGATGTAGAAGTTTGGACTTTGGAGTATATCTTGTTGCGTAGCTGTATTTTAAAAGTTTATTTGCTCCACTGATTCCACTCAGATTAGCTGTCTAACTTCTGAAAGTCATGGAGTATAAGGCAGAAAATCTTCGAATGTTTGTTATGTCAAAAGAAAAATTCTTACCTTGTATGAGTTGTATCTTGTATGTGCTGAAGTACTGAATCACTGAATCGTTATATATATTGATAATGTCTGTATTCTCCTTGCTTTTCATCTCTTCAACATTGTTTATAGTATGTCTCCCACACCATTATAATTTCTCTGGGGGAGATGTACATCTTGAACCATTCAAAAGATATTGGGACTTGTTAAGAAGAACAAAAACAATGATATGCTCTGTCGGTTGGCTTTTGCTGTCATATTTTAAACCGTTAGGATATCAAGAAGTTTAGAAACTTAGAATACTTCCAGATTTTCAGAATGAAGAATTAGAATATTATTTTGGCATAAGTATTTCAGATTTAACAAATAATACAGGCATGTTGTGTTTGCATTCCTCACTCTCACCAAAATAGAGTGCTAGGACAGATATTTTGTGACCAAGCCACTGCATTTATGTTATGGTGAAACATTCTTGCTATAGTTGGCTGCTGTTTCATGATAATTGGGTTCAATATCTTCGTTCCAGAAATTGTGCTTGGAAGGTCTATCTTTGTTGCATCAGTCTTTAGCTGTTTGTCAGTGGCCTGTTAAGCTGTCATTCTAAACAGTCTCCCATCTACATCACATTTGCAGCTTTTTTTCTTTATTGTATGTTGTAAATGAGAGTTATGTTCCACAGTAGATGCCTTGGCTTTCTTATATTGAATGACATGAACATCCTCTATCTGTTATTGCTTACGTATATGGTGATTGCTTCTACAGATATTTGAGAGTTTGGTTTTCTGTGGGAGTTGGTTTCAGTTTAAGTGTGCTTTTTGGAGTCACCATGGTTAGAAAAATACCCCCTCCCAACAACAAAAAAAGATTTTCCTTTTTTTCACCTTTCTTGATTCATGTATAACTTTCTGATTTATCATGTATGGGCAGATTCTTATTTGGGAATCAGTGGCTACTTTATGTCTATCTGATGGAAGCGATAAAATTAGTGATCTTTTCAGCTCCTTACTGTTAGGTGCTAACCCCTCTGTGAGCTTCTGCCTTTCTCTTTCTGCCCCAATCTTCCCAGGGATTCTTTAAGTACGTACTTTGACAATAGACACTGATTTCCTTCTTAGAGCAAAGTTGTCTTGAAGAAGGTTCTTCTGGAATGCTAGAAAGGCATATTCAGTCATATCATACTGCTAGTGTTAACACACTATTTCCATCTTGCAGGTTTTTGGCTTTTATATGTCATTGACTGATGTTTTATACTTGGTAGTCTCCACTGTGGTATCTGTAGCAGTGCATGAATTTGGACATGCCGCTGCTGCTGCAAGGTCATCTCTCTCTCTCTCTCTCTCTCTCTCTCTCTCTCTCTCTCTCTCTCTCTCTCTCTCTCTCTATAGCTGTTTTACTTTCAATGTGAAGTTTTAAACTAAAGATTTGTGAAACAATAGTTGGACCAATATATGTGCATGTATAAGGTGCCAGCTTCTCCTTCTGTACATATTTAAAAGTAGTAAAGGAATCTGATTCTGCAATCATTTTCACTTTCTTTTACCCCCTCTTTTCAAATATAGGCAGGGTAGTAGTTCAAACTTGAGTCACCATCTCCAATATGTGTTCAAAGTAACTTTTAATATACTTACTCATAGCCCTTTGTTGCTCTCTGATTTTACCGTCTCCTATATGTGCTTATAACTTGCAAGAGTTGGAACTTTTAGTGCGACACTTAACTAATAACTAGAATGCAGTGTACAACAGCTATAAGCTTGGGTTTAGGCTTGTTATTAATCTTATTATCCAATGCGGTCTGTTAGAGTTGTCGTACAGAGATGGTGACCTATTGGGCTGGATAGCCTTGAAAGGGCTGCAAACAAATACTATTCTATTGATGACTGAAGGATATTGATGACTGAAGGTATTACTAAGAAACGAAGTTGGGCCCATTGTGGACCACTCATTGACCTCTGCCATTTTAATGAATAATGATAGCTCTATGTAGGATATACTTGTTCCTGCTGCCTGCTATTCTTCAGCTTCAATCAGCCTTGTCTGTGTTCTACTTAGCTTCTGTTTGCATCCTTGAGGTGGTGCTTTGGCTTGATTTCTACTCTTTAGTAGGTCAAACAATTTAATTGACACTTTCATACTTGTTATTGAGTCATGAAATGTTTAAGGCACTGTAATTCTTCACTTCTTAAGTATTCAGATGAAGTATAGCTTAGACTTTATTGTAATATTCTATTGTCTATCTGATGTCATTTGCATACATTTGAAGTAATTTTACAGTAGTATGATATCCTAAAGTCAAAACCTGTTATTTTGCATTAAGGTTAGAGCTAATATGAAGTATATATCAAGGACAAATTAAAAGATCTTATATGCTGCCCGTTTTACTTAACCTTGTATTTTCTTGAAATAATACCTTTTTTTTTTTTTTTTTGGGGGGGTGAATGCAACATTAGGTAATACTGATTATTCTCTCTGAGGTTCTCTGACACACCATGCAAGTCAAATATGGCTAAAAGTTCCAAATTTCCCAATTTCTCCTGTGTATGCAATTCTTCTCCACCTTTATCTTCCAGCTGAATCCCACGAAGTTATAGCTGTTAGACCTAGTTTGATTGCGCTCACGTCAGCAGAGTCTAACCTGATGATGTGATGCTTATTTTGATGACCAGAATTTTCTTGTAGCTATTTTTTTCCCTACCGGGTGTTGCATATTTGAATGAGCTAATCTAGAAACTGTTATTGCTGAAACTACATGTGAAACATCTATTAAGATTTTGCTTCTGTAGAGCTGTCTTCTCATCTTTGCCACTCTAGGGGCCTCTTAAATGGGAAGCAGTGAAGGAATACAGTTGGAGTACATTGCCATATTTCTAGCTGTTCTGTTTCCAGGGGCATTGGTTGCACTTAATCACGAATTATTGCAAATTAAACCACACTCTGCTTCCCTTCGTATATATTGTGCTGGTATCTGGCACAATGCTGTGGTGAGTTTGTTCAGATTCCTCTTTTTTTTTATTTAAAACAAAAAAAAAAAAAAGAAAAAAAAAACCTGAATTGTCTTAATGAGTGTTGATTGCCAATTGTAGCTAATACATTACGTGATTTGGATTTGAAATTTACTCTGAGAGATTAGCCATGTGGGTTACTTAGAGCTGACTGCTTGGGTTTTTTGTCAAGTTTTGTGCAGCTTGTGGTTTGGCGTTGTTGCTATTGCCTCTAATGCTTTCTCCTTTCTACATACATGGAGAGGGCCCCGTGGTAACATTACATCTATAATCTATTTCCATGTGATGTTTGCACATACATCAATTTGTTTGTAAGTAACGTGATGATGGGCTGCTTATAGGGTTGGCATATATAATCTGAGTGCAGGTACTGGGTATCTCTGGAAGCTCACCTGTGTCTGGTTATCTGTCTCCTGGTGATGTCATTATGTCATTGGATGGAACTAAAATTAGCAACGCACGAGAATGGCTAGAAATGGCAAATTTTCTGGAAAAGCAGACGTTGGTGAGCTCTGAGTCCCAGGTTGTGAAAGGATTTCTGACTGTTAATAGGAAAACTTACTGTGTCCCTAGTTCTTTGGTGGAGAAAAGTGTCACTGTGCTTTTGAGGAGTAACCAGACTGCTTGTCCCGATGAGCACTTTGCTTTTGTATCTGTTCCCTGTTTCGAATCAAGTGCTCAATCTTCCAACAAAGAGGCATATGATATTCAGAGAATTAATAATAATGGGTACTGCCTCAATTCTGCTGATATTGTCAAGCTTAGAAGTTGCAAAAGCTTGTGGACAACTGATATTAGAAGTGGCTGCATATGCTCAGAGGTAGACCCTTTCATCTGGTTTATCTTATTTTTAATCAATTTATTTTGTTTATTGGGTGAAGTTCTCAAAATGTGTGGATCTGGTTTGGTTTGAGACTGCATTACTATGCATCTTGACCTCTGCAGACCTTGTCTACTATGAGACACGTGACTTGTTTATGTTTAATACCTGGTATAAAATAGCTATCAGCCTAACATAAACCATCTGAAATTGCTCCCCCCCTCCCCCCCTCTTCTTATTTTATTTTATTATTTTTATTTATCTTTGCAGAATGAGCTGTGCATGTCACCAGTTCAAATGCCTGGTGTTGTGTGGGTTGAGATTATGTATAGAAGTCCTTACTCTCTTCAATGCATGAAACTAGAAAATAACCTGACTGTTGTGGAGAGTTCTGATTCTGGGGATGACTGTCACAAGACTTTTCTATTTGTTGGTGATGTGATTTCTATGGCACGTTCAGTGAGTATGACATCCTTCCAACCACGTGTTGCTTCTCCGTTTGGCTCATATCTAGCAGATATGATAGAGAAGATTTTGGCGTGCACCTTCCAAGTGTCGGTTGCTTTGGCCCTCCTCAACAGCCTTCCGGTATGTTCACTGGTATTGCATGTTTTACACTGGTTTTATGCACTGTACTAGTCTTGTCTTGCGATGTACACTTATTCTTCTTAAACTTTTATCTTGAGATGCGATGCTCATTTTGTTACAACTGGGAGAAAATTTGTGTTTTTTGGTGTTCTGATATTTATTGCTTTTAGGAAAGTAACTTAAGTTTTTACCTCATTAAGCTTTTATCCTTCTTAAACTTTGTTGATCCAGCTAATCTTTTAGGAAAGTAACTTAAGCAGTTTATAAATTATGAAGGTTACATGCACCAATCGGGTTGCTGAACTCTTCCTTTTTTTTTTTTTTTTTTTTTTTTTTGGGGGGGGGGGGGTGGTTTTGGGAGTTTGCTGCTGCAACTCCAAAATTAAATTAAAGCAATGTTACTGGTCCATCCGTAATGGACTCAGATTTTTCAATAACTTGCTCACACATAATAAAATCAAAATGGAGAGAAAAGATTGATTCGTTGATTGCAAAATTAAAGCTTTATACAAACTAGTAGCTTGGAGGCTACTACTCTCCAAACTAGTGACTAGTGAGCAGTAGCTTGGGGCTATCACTCTCCAAGGCAGCGACTTTAGGTCACAAGTCTCCTCAATTTTCCTCACCAATTGCCTGCCACCATCTTTTTCTCTCTTTATTTATGTACATGGTTTCATCAGTCCCTATGATGATTCTAGACTAAGCTTTTGTCATATGTGCATAGGTGGCCTCTATCAATTCATTGCGTATTCTCTCTTGTTTATACTAAATTTGATGACTACTAAGTGCTAACACTATTAGACTACCCGTATTGCCCCTCCCCCAGGTCGGTAGTCGGTTCACTACACCATCCAACTAATCTAAGTGAGATTAAAAGACGGACTCTGGAAAATAATAAATTTGCCGTTAATGTGCCTAACTTGTGACTTTGTGAGATCCAGGTATGCTGTGGAGTTGTGGAGTGTTCACTCCCTTCTTGTTAAGAGTGATGTCATGGGTCTGAAAAATAAGGTCTTCTGGTTTCCAAAAAATTGTAGACCATATTCCTTTGCCATACACATTCAAGATTGCTGACTTTTCCTATCATCTGGAGTAGGGACTGAAGAGTTAGATGTTTACAGTTTCTAGTCTCCACATGTACTATTTCAATCTATTGTCTAACGCGCAGTCTGATTTAACTCTTATATTAATGATAAAATTGATAATTGCTCTATTGTGCAACCTGATCATCATGTCTTGTATGACATTGGACAGTAAATACTGAAATGATGATGATCTGTATTTTACCAGGTCTACGGTCTCGATGGTGAATCAATCTTGGAGGCAAGCTCTTTTTGTGTTACTGTTTTGAGTCCTGGGAGGAGGAGACTCTTGCTTCAAGCTTCCCTATTTGGGGGCTCCATCATTTCTTGCCTTGTATTTATTAGAATATTTCTCATTAAATTTTGGTAAGTTTTTTTTTTTTTTTTTTTCCTCTTGGGGGGGGGGGGGGGTGGGATGGAGGATATTGTCAGCTAAATCCTGGAAATCATGGTATATGGGTTATGTTGCAAATAATGTTTTCATCTCTGTGTCAATGCCAAATTTCAACTTTTCATGATACCTTCTTTTTGCACTGAATTTATATCCCCATTTTCTGCTTTTGTGGCTGTCTTTTGATGGTCCTGCCACTAAATTTTCTTATTGATCTTATTAAAGCACATGAAAAATCACCTGAAAGTGCATTCACAGGAAGCCAGCTACAATCTTCATAAAACATATGCCATGTGATTAAAAATATTCATGTCGCTATCATATTTTTTACTTAGTAATACAGTATGAAAATACATCAAGTGCCTAAAATTCAGATAACAAGATTTCTAATTGTTTCACCATTATAATTTGTGTATTTAGATCCAATACAGAAATCTATTGTAGTCTTGTATTCTTGTTGCATTTCTAAGCTGCTTTGTACCATTAAATCATTCTTAAACTCAGCCTAGTTAGAGATTGGTCCTCTCATTCTCCAATTACCAGTAGTTGATTTCATTCCTTTAATTTGTATCAACCTGTTCAAGCTGAATTAATCATCCAGTGTTGTCCATCTGCTTTGACGTGGAACTTATTGACTTGGGCAAATAATCTGACAGCCTGTCTGACACCTTTATCATAGTAGGATGAGATATAGTTGTGACCAAATAGAACTCCACCTGGTCTCAACAGCTTGTAAGCCTTATTGATATCGAACCAGGCTGAATGGAATTCATGCTATGCAGTAACCTCGATTAAGTCATTATAGATGCAAGATGCCCCATTCACAGAGCTTCTCTGGAGCGGAAATTATTGAAGGGTGTATAGGTAAGATGGATTCTGTTGCATTTTGAGAAATCACATTTCTGATAAACTGATTTAGCATCATAATATCACCATATGGCATAGCTATGTCTTCAAAGTTCAAACAGGTCTTGGCCTGTTCAGAAATTCATCTAGGCGACTAGGCAGATGATCTGGGTCTCCAAGCCTAGTTGACTTGTCAGATAGGCCATGCAGGTTGCAGATACATCGAAGGAAGTATTTAACTTGATTATGCTCTTTGGTTGAACTCTCTGGATTAAACTCTTGTAATTCACCTCATATAAGCCCCACCCTTTGGCTCTCTTTGACAGGAGGGATGAGGTAATTCTTGGTGGGATTGGTAGTCTTTTTCATTAAAGGGTTGAAGGCGGTTATGATGTAGTCTTCATTGGGGGATGTGCCATTGTATACCTGATCAATAATTGTCCGGCGAACGAATTCAGAAGGCAATTGTTCAGCACAGTGAGCTGTGAGCTACTTGTACAGAGGGTAAGATGTAGTAAGAATGATTTTTTGACAGTGTAAAGATATTTTGGAGATCATGAAAGTTGTGATATCTTTGATTTTGAAAGATGAGCCGACTAAGTGGCCTAAGTTGTTAGATATAGTGAGGAGAATGACTAAGTGGCCTAAGTTTGACAATGATAATAATTATATTTATAGAAAAATTATTTTATCACACCGAATGCTATGTAAATTTTTTAATATTTTAATGAGCCTTTGGTTTTTTATGACAAGTGAGCCTTTGGTTGAGAGTCTATAAATAAAATATAAAGTATTAGATTGGAATTTTGGAAAAACAAGGCAGGGAAAAAAAAACCTAGTATTATGTCATTACTAAAACAATAACCTTGCAAATATTATATACTAGATGAACTATCTACTGGAACAATTACCTTGCAAATTATATATAAATTTCTCAAGATCAAGCCTTTAAGCTAGGTATCTCATCATTCAACAAGATTAGTAATCTTGCCGTTTATATCCTGACTTCCATTATCGTCCTCTAATTAATTATTAGGTTTTTCTTCAAGTGTGATGTTTTATCTGAGCATGTAAGTGATATATTAATGCAAAACTTTAACGAGAACATATTTTAAATGACAAAGATATAACTTTTGACTGATATATATGAAAATTAATTTGTATACTTGTATAATTTAATAATTTCTACTTGTGCATCACATGGGATGGAAACTAGTTATGTTTCACATTAATAGCGTGATTTTGTGCGGTTGACCGCATTTTGTGACCGCTTGCGAAAGAACAAAATAACCCCTATAACAACGAAGAAGTAACTCATACAACATTGACCAAGTAACCTTATAAGATATAACATTGAGCAAGTAAGTCTATAACATTGGTCGATTTTTTTCAAGTGCTTTATTGGGACTTTTTGCACTATTTAGTTAACTTAATTTGACCGATGTTTGTGAATTATACTCCCACTGTTTGTTTTTTTTTTTTTTTAAGCTAGAGTTGGGGTTTCCACTATTCATATGTCATCATTGACTTATTTTTCTTACCAATATATAATATATAATTAAATATGATCATATATTATATTGTTGGATTTGTCATAATGTGTACTTTTATAAATTAATTTTTTCATAAATTTTACTAACCTCTAATTAAATATATTGATGGTCAAAGTTGTGTCTTAACTCTTGCTTATTAAAAAAAAAATAGAGGGAGCACATAAAAAGAAAAATAGTTGCGGCCTTACGGGTATTTGTTGAAATCGTCTCAATTTAATAGATTATTAAAAATCAATTATTATAATTTATAGTCATTGATAATTTAAAATATTACTAATCAAAATTTTATAGTAACTACGGTAAAAGATTTTGAGAGGACAAAACCCAAACCCAAAGATTTTATAGTAACTACGGTAAAATACACTTCCTCCGTTCCAATAATATTGCAACAAGGATGAAATTACGCATCCCAAAGCATATTTTATATGTTAAATATCTATAATTGTGTAAGAGTAAAAATTATAAAAAGTTGATATTGTGAAAATATTTTATATTATGATGAAACTAACAAGATCCCACGTGACTATATTTTGCTTAACATATAAATCATATTATATGGTCAAACAAGAGTGATAAATAGTGCAAAAAGTCCATTGTTGCAATATTTAATGGAACCAAGGAAGTATATGCCTATATGATGATTGCACATAAAGTAGAAATAAATATAAATATAAATAAAAAAAGAAATTACAAGGATACTACTTGTATAACACGTTTGTTACTAGGTCAAATTTTGCAATAGCAGGCCAAAATTTTCCGAAAGAGTCGTTAAGCAATTGCACAATGGTGAGGAAGAAGGGTGGGAGAGGAAGAGCATCATCATCAAGATCTAGACCATCTCGTGGAAAGAGTGCAATTTCTTCAGGTATAATTTTTCATCTTTTACTAATTATACTTCTAATAATGTGTATTATCTTATGTATTTTGATTTTCTTTAAGGGTTTTTATTAAACCACCATTGTTGGAGCTTGGAAAGAAGAAGATAGTGCATTACACTTAGTGGTTAATTAACGCTAAACACCTCATCACGTATGAGAGTAACGATAGGGTTATTTGCGTTACAGTTAGTGGTTAATTAACGCTATATTATTTAGGATTTATGTTTTTCATTATAAATTAGCGCAAAAAACACGGTAAAATTTAGTCAAATTAATTCATCAATTGAGACCAAATTAAACGAGCATTCTATGGAGTAACTTCTAAGGCATATTTTATACTTCCTTCACTTTCTTTAATTCTCTAAAATAATAAAAACGAACACTTTATTATGAATGAGACGGAGGGAGTGTTTTATGGCGCAATTCTATAATGTAGTAGGGTTCTATCTATGGTGCAATTCTATATTTTCCTAGTTCTTTAAAATAATCTTTTATGAAGTTTTAATATTTTCTGTTTGTTAAAGTAAAGGAAGCTGAATAAATTATTTTCTCCAGATTTGAAGGCAGATGAGAGTCATGAGACAGATGAAAGGAAGAATAAACGCTGCATAAATGTTTTAGTCCTTGGACATCGTGGTAAGTTAAATTTAATAAAAGCTGCATCTTAGTGCTTGTTCGCTGCTGAATTTAATTTATATCTTTCTTGTATGCCAATATTTTTTTCATGTTTGGTTTGTATTGTAGCTGCCGGGAAGTCATTGGCACTTCACAAAATTAATAAGCTTGAGAATGATAGAGTTGCACTCGAGAAAGCTACTCAAAATCTTACAGCAGTAGTTACCATGGATGAAAGTACCCAGGGCCGGTGAGACCCTTTTCGGACCCCTGAAAACTAAGTAGTATATTGCTGATTGGTCATTAACTGTTTTCTATTAATCTCAATGATTTATCTTGGCGGAATTATATTTTATCTTTGCCTTCTCCTAATATATTGGATGTGTATTTATTTTGACTGATTTTGTTACATGCTAGGCTTTTGGATCATGCTACGGACAAAAATGAAGGCGAGGGGATTTTTTTTATGCTACTTGTTCTAATGTGTTGGAAATGTTTAGCTGGGAGGGTTGGGTTGCTGATCTTAAAAATCATTTTGTTTCCATTACACTAGGGAAAGGGAGGGGAAGGAAGAGAGGGAGGTAAGGGGAAGGAAGAGAATGGGAGGTAAGGGCTTGCGGTCCCCTAGCATAAGAGGGATGGACCCTATGACCTCTTGGGTCCCTTGGAAGTCCATTTTTCCCCTAGGCTCATTAATTGTCAGTTGAGTTTTGTTTCCACGTCCTGCAGCTTTAAGAGTTAAGACTAAGAAGTGCTCAATTGACCTTGTAGCTAGGGTACACTACTTGGAAACTGTTGCAATGGTCCAAGTAATGATCCTCTTGGTCTTAAGCATCCAATAAAGACACAAGTTTGTCTCTACGAATTACTATTTCAAGTATGATATCTTACTTGGTGTCCTTAGGTAATGCTAATCATCAATCTGTTGCAAATCTTTAATGTTCACATCTGTTCGAGCCTGAACCATGGTAGACACCCGGTTTTCGCTCCTCATTGTTTGGATTCATTCCTTACGGAACACAAATGCATGTTGTTGGACTGACAGGCAGCCTTTGTTGTCTTTGTGAGATATTGGTTGCGGTTGTTTACTAGGTTAGCGGTAGACCTATGCACATGCTGAGCACAT